AGACCTGTTTCCAGAATGTCATCGATGGCAAAGTTGAAGAGGAATTGTGAGATTGGGCAACCCTGCCTAACCCCACTGCTCGAATGGTGGTTGTATGCCTTCACTCTGCCTGAGGTGTTTGTATATAGGGCTTTTAGGATGTTAATAAACTTATCAGGCACACCCTTCTTCAATAGACAATCCCAGAGAACAGTCCTGTCCAACGAATCGAAAGCAGCCCTGATGTCAAGAAACACTACGATTGTTGGCCTTTGATAAGTATGGCGGTGTTCTAACATTTGGCGGAGGGTGAAGATATGATCAATACATCCTCGACCAGAACGAAACCCAGCCTGCTCCTCGCGAGTCAATCTTTCCCGAGTTTTGAACAACCTACGAAGTATGACGGAAGCCAATAGCTTGGACGCAATCGAAAGTAGACTTATCCCCCAATTGTTGTTACAGGAACGACGTGAACCCATTTTTTAAAGATAGGGAAAACGTTGGTACACTCTCTAGCTCCTAGACCTTTGTAAACAACGTCGTCAGTTCCTTAGTCAGAAAGTCACAACCATCTTTAAAAAGAGCCGGAGGTAAGTCATCTGGACCAGGTGATTTGTAGCGCTTCAAGAGTTGGAGTTCCTTGCGAACTTCCGCCCCGTTGAATGGATCAGTCATCACCGGCCATGGAGGGCAGGACAGTCTGACCGATGTTGCCGGAGCAGCAGGCCAGTTGAACTGCCCTTCGAAAAATTCAGCCCATCGTCCAAGACGTCGATGGATGTTAGTGATTGGTATGCCATCATCCTCGCAGACTGTTTCGCTCACACCAGGCTTCTCACTGCCAGTGGGTCGGATGAGTTGGAGGAGCTTCTGGTAGTGACCAGATGCAGCTGCTGCTTCCGCCTCATCAGCACGCTCCGACCACCAGGCTTCGCCCAGTTTCCTTACGTAACATCTTTCGTTTGTGGTCAAACTCACGGTCACCCGGAGTAGACCGACAGGCTTCAGTGAGTTGTAAGGAGCCTGAAGGAACCCAGTGCTTATAAGCGGGACGTTTCGCGAACCCACAACTGACTGTACCTGCCATTTTCATGACGTCATGCAATTGCAACCAATGCTCATCTATACTTTTCAGTGGAATGGTAGCTAGCCTAGAGGCTGGCGCGGTTCGACACTTACTTGCAACAGAAGTTGCAACCAGCTCGCTAATATCAATCCGTTGATGGTGGTCACTTCGTTGGCCACTGAAAAGTAAGGCAAGATTGGCGCAGACCAAGGCATGGTCAGAGTCCAGATAGGTACTCCAGAAGGAGCGGCAGTCTTGTACACAACCATGCCAGCGGTAGCTGATCGCGATGTGAGCAATCTGAGTCCAGGCTTGAGATGCAGAGGGGGGATGCCAGGTGGCACATCGGCGATGACTGTGCCGAAAGTTAGTGCTAGCCAGAAACAGGTTGTGGTCTATAAATAGTTGCAGTAGACGGTCCCCGTTATCTGTCCTGCAACCAACAAGTCTCCGCCGGCCGCCTAAACGACTCTCTTCTGTGCCTAGACGCCCGACCTGAGCATTCAAGTCTCCAGCTAGTACTACAATATCTGTCGAGCGCACTTTCTAGAGAAGAACAGATAACTGGTGGTAAAACTCATCCTTGATTGCATCCGGGCTGCAATCTGTTAAGGCATAGGCGGAGTTGACGAAAAGACATCGTTTCTCACGCCGATTTCTTCTCACTTTGATGGAACTCTCTAATCTAACAGCACAAAACCGACTGTTAATGGGGATCCAATCGATTAGTGCTGCCTCAGCTCTAGCACTTAGTGCGACACCAACGCCAGCAAGACCAGACAAAGATGCCACAGGGTCGCCGGATAAGCGCACATAGAACAAGCTTTTCGAGACGACAGATGGATATCGAAATTGTAGTACTTCACCAAAGTCTTTAATATGGGTCTCGCATAGACAGCAAACATCGATATTAAGACTTTCCAAAGACATAGCCAGCCCTATCTGTTGTCCGACCTGCATAAGTGTGCGAACGTTGAAGGCAGCCAGTTTGAATGGTGCACGTGGTTTCAGAAAAACTGCTTTAGTACTCATATTCGGTGGTAACATACAATTTTCAACCGGACAGTGACGCGAGAACGTTTAGATAGAGTCGAATTTCAACCAAAGACGAGCTGCTGTATAAACCGAAAAGTAAGTATATACGGAGTAGGAATAAAAGAGGGTGAATAATGATGTAGTAAATAATAATAATAATAATAAGAAGAAGAAGAAGAAGAAAAATAAAAACTGTAATAAAATGCAAATATTACCAGATCAAATGGAATCAAAAAGACTACCAAAATGTACAACCAAAGGAATCAACAGGAACGAACTGCAAGTGTATATGTGGAGGGATTTTCATACAAAAAACATTCAAAATGGATCTTACAATATGTGAGTCTCCGGGATGATATTCTTGTCAAGTCACGTAAACATATGTCTAAAAATGGTGAAACTAATGGAATCTATGATATTTTCAGACATCAATGCCAGTAATACAACTTCGTGACCAGATAACATCAGTTCTCTAAAAGCCTTAGTGGTCGAACGCAGAATAGCAGAACATTCGTAGCTTAGGTAGGCTGCGCTTAACAAGCACAGAATTGTTTCCTGACGCAGTGTTGACGCAACCTCTGCAACCAGAGAAACGTCGCAACAGAGGAGCAAATAACCAACACCAGTCGTCAACAAATTGAGTGAAACTTAGATTGCTTGGGTATTCTACACAGTGAGGTAATGTGGTCCGTTTGTTTCAGTTTGGAAAGGATTTTTCTACGTATCATACGTACTCCACTAAATTGCATGCCCGGTAACTTTCCAGAAAAGTGTGTTAGACTTAGGATCAACTTTTTCATGAAACATTATCAGAACTTTCTAATAATTTTTCGACAATTTAGATTTAAGTGTTCAAATGGATTTTATAGATTCTCTGTTGCCATTTAAGTGAATAAATAAAAGAAGCTTGTAGGCACAAAGAAATCTCACTGATCACCATCTAAGCCATCTGACAGTTGCGTCACTAAATGTCCAGTGGTTTACTGATTCTTCTCAAGATCAAGAACAACTAACGCACATCAATTAATCATACGCTATGATTTGGCCTATGCGGTGGTGGTCCTACTCTCTTTCTTGCACGTACTCTTACTTATATATTTCTGTAATAACGTCTTTTGTGTCATACGGTCTTCAAAGCAGCCATAATAACTTGGTACGGCGAAAGGGTAATCCACGTTAAGTGCCGAATGTTAGGTGTAACTTCAAAGTCAAATAGTCGCTTACATCATTTTCATTTAAACCGAGCAAGTCCTCTACCATTCGACACAGACTATCTACGCTAGTGATCTAGAAGCTTTTGCTTCACTGGCTTCATTTTCAATATTAATATATCAAAAATGACTCTAGATAGAGACCTTCGTTTATCCAGTGAACAAAATGGAGATATTAGTAAATTATAACAAGATGGTGTTCTAGATATATCAAGTTTTCTCTTCAAGGACTCTGGAAAGGTAGCTTGAACGACGTTAGCTGACAGTAAATCCTGGAATTTGACCAACAGTAAGGAGCAAAATTTACATACACAGTCTACCTTGCTATATCATACGTCTGATTTCTTGGTACTATATCTGAGGTTTGCTTATGGATTGAGCTCGCGTAGGTGGTTAACTGATGCACAGAAGTGTTTAGGATGCCAAACATTATTTTAAGATCGCCATTCTGTGACTTACACTTTATTGAGTAGATATCCATAATAAAGTTTAAATTTAAAACCCTTGACTGATTTCGTACTTCAACTTTGGATACGTTATCAATTTTGGGAGTAAAGGGAGACGCACTACATTTTCCTACTCCAAATAAGGGATGAATTAATCTGCTAAAAATGCAGCGAAAATTCCTGCTGTCGAGACTCCCAAAAATGTTCCTCAACTTAACCATCGCGAGGTTTCTTCTAGAGGCATTTTCTCGCGGTTGACCTAAGGTCTTGGACATAGGGTACGATGACTCCAAGTAGTTTATGAACTCTGAACACGTTTGGAAGGAAATTGCTCGAGTTGAACATGTATTTTTTAATCTACCTTGGAACAATTTACACTAATATGTCTTGAAAGTTATTTCATCGTTATTCTCCAAACGTAGACATGGAGTTGGATCCTCCTAAAGTCCTGACATAAAGTCCAAGTTTGAAACTTCTTTCCGAGATCTACTATCTCCAGCGAAAAGTAGTAACTCAAACGAGGGGAGAAGAGTTCCTAGTACTTGGTTATGGATTGAACCTAACAGGATATTATGTAGCCTGAGAAAATGTAAAGTATACAGTGACTTTTGAATAACTAGTATTTCGACATGACTCAAACTATTTTATTAACGGTGCGCTGCTACCTAACACCTTGAGCTTAGTGAAAAGGAATGCGTTATTCACCTTACTAAAGGTTTTTGAGAAATCAAGGTGTGCTTCATCGGTTTTCCATTTGCTGCTGAGAATGGTGACTGACCTGCAGGTTGGTAATGCAGGATGTGGTGCTTCTTGAAAGCGCTTTGTTTCGGTGAAGAGGAGTTTATAGATAATAAGTAGTTGAGTAACACATTTTTCATTACGAATTTTGTAACCTCTGAGGGTATTGGAAGATATGCTACTGTCACCCAAACTTGAGAAATGACGTGTACGCAAGTTTCAAGTTTTTTTGATTGCATGCACATTTGGCGAACATGAGAGTATCACACACTAGGGTGACTATAATTCATGGATGACTTTTGAGCCACGCTAAAGTGACCTTGAGAGTGTCTACCTACTTACTAGGGGTAAATGAGGGTCATAAAGCAGTTTGAAGAATAAAGATAATGATATACAATTAATGATAAGGGTTAGGATTTAGATTTATGGTTTTCATTACGAACTGACATCAGCTAAAATGCCCAAACGCTATTTGGACGAATGGGTGAATGAATTTCGCGCCAAAATCCGAGACTCGTTATCCTAAATATGATTGGTTCGCCCATAGATTATTGTCTCACCGTTCCTGAGGTATAAAGAAAAGAAATTCACATTGCATCGTTCCATTAAATCGTGAAACGGAATCTTAATTCCATAGAAAGTGTGATTCAATTTGTACTGCATAACACAGTTCAAGTTTGAAGACTTTATATGGCGCTTGTTTAGTTCAATACAAACGTGTCGGCGACCTGACGTTTGGTTTCGACTATGGTAAGCTACCATCTATTCTAATCACTGCCTTTTAGCCTGTTAGTAAAAATGCAAAGATCAGCCAGCATGTTAATTATAGGATTAGATGTACCATGCAAGATGGCCGGCAACTAGTAGGGACGTTCAAAGCTTTCGATCGTCATATGAATATAATATTGTGCGATTGCGACGAGTTTCGCCAAATCAAAAACAAGACAGCAAAGCAAGACAAGGATCGCCAGGAAAAGCGGGCTCTAGGCCTTGTTCTTTTGCGAGGTGAACATGTTGTAAGTAACTTTTTTCTATATGGTTCTGTTGCCTCATGTACCGTACAGATGTTATTTAAAGTGTAATACGCACTAAACAGGTGCAAAATTGATATTAAAATAATGTTCAACATCCAAAAAGTCATTAAAGATCGTTGAATCAACGTCCCTTACGACCTTAGGTATATTTCAGCTAATCTGCGTCATTAAGGATTTCAAAACTGCAAGTGTGGAAGTCTCCCTCTGTATAAATCGGTCATGAATGCAAACTCAAATTCCAGACTTAATTCGAAACTCAAACTTTGCCTGTTCGTTGTTTGCTTGAAATTCACTACTCTGGTCAACAAGATGGTACGAACTTAGTAATTGATCTTATGTCAATGCTATAATGTGACAGCTACATATTTTCTATGGACACTACTGTTTTCCAAGTGTGGATCTGTAGTCATATGGTTAACACGTCTTACAAGTGTTGCGAGTTTATTAAGAAACTTTCAGAGCTGATAATTTCCAATGCTACTCGAACTAAAATTCACTGGAAAAGCAGCTGTGCTTCATTGTCTTCTCGGGTTAACCATTTAGTCGCAAAGACCCTGAGTTAATTTAGAACTTAGTTTAATTTCCTTACTAATTTGGCTACGTTTTTATACAACGTAATATTCATGTATGTTCCGGGGAATCCCTGTTAAATTGCAAAGCTACCAACTCTCCGTTGTTAACAATGATGTCCTCTTGTTTCTCATCCCCCGTCCAATTTGTCGCAAACCTATTTTCACTCCTTTTACGTCGGATTACTCGTTCTCAAGTATATATAAACTTAATTTCTTACGACGCCTCTGAAGTTTATGTAGAGGTGTGTGTTTCACAACAATGCTGTATTTCACCAGATTTAACGTAACATCAGTCCTTAAATTCACTAACTTCTAGTCTTAGCTATGTTGGTAGATGCAGACGGTGAGATTAAAATTTATGGACGAACCAATCATGTATAAGATAACAAATTCATCCATCCATTTGGATAAAATGTTTTGGCATTATCATCAGTCAGTCAGCCAGCATTATAGCTGATATCAGTGATGAATGCCTTAAATCTAGTTTCTAGCCTTAACCATTAACTGTAAATCATAATTCGAATTCCTCACACAGGTTTGTAACCCTCATTTGGTCGTAGTTATTACGTGGACACTCAAGGTCACTTAAGTGTCACTCATCGGTTGTCCATAAATTATAGTCTCACCAATGCAGACTAATTGGTTCTATATCCTTATATGCAATCTTTCCTTTATATATTGCCACCATTGAATTAACTAATTTATGAATTCGTTGTAGATCTTGTTGTGGTAGTAATGTGTGGCAAATTGGACTGATGCATATATGTGCCTGGTCTTACTTTGTAGCTGACCGACTGACTGAAAGACCTGATTACGAGTATCCTCGAAGCTTTCTCACCAGTAAAAAAACTACCTTGTTAGTAATAACTTGATGCGTTCATTACTGGATGATGCCTGTGAGTGCACATCAATTGAAGCTGCTAAAAAATACCGTGGACATCTTAACGTTTGGTACTCCACTTCCAAACAGTTTAGCTCTATACCCTGTTCGAATTCAGTTTGAGTAGTCGAGCAAATAGAGGTGGATATCGCCTACATAAAAAGTAGTTTCTGTTCATCCTAATGGAGTCATGTCAATTTTGTATAGAGGGAGTAGCGAAAATAAAGTCCACAGTTTTTCGTTCATTAGGGGTATTACTAAACTCTTTACAGACTAATAAAAAAACTGGAATTAATAAGTCAAGTGTAAGTGAGACTATTCCGGAAAAAGACGACACTCATCTGCTCCCAGTCCAGACGTTTAGAACGATGGGCGGAACATTTTAGGGAACAGTTCAACTGGCTTCAGCTACTCTACAACTACCCTCCATTCCCAGACTGTAAATAGAACATTGAAATAGGTCCCCCAAACTCTAGCTGAAGTTCAAAAGGCTATAGTTAATCTGAAACAAGGAAGGGCAGCTGGTCCAGATGGATTGGCTCCAGAAGTCCTTAAGGATGGTGGTCCAATTTTAGCGATTAGTTTGACCAATATTTTAGCTAAGATCTGGGAGTTAGACCTTATCCCATCTGACTGGTCACAATCACTTATCGTCCCAATACATAAGAGAGGGTTAAAATCATCCTGTGACAACCATAGAGGGATTAGTTTAACTAATATAGTATCTAAAATACTAACCTCGATAATTATCGGACGCCTAATTAAGACTCGTGAACTGCAAACACGAAAGAATCAAGCTGGCTTCAGACCTGGTCGTGGCTGCACCGGCTACATATTCACCACTCGTCAGGTTCTAGAACACAGGCATACTTATCGGCGTCCGACAATGGTGGTCTTTCTTGACTTGAAAGCAGCATTTGACTTTGTACATTGCGATATTCTGTGGTGTGTGGCGCATATATATTGGCGCTCTCTTGTACCAATATTTATGTGTTAAAATAAATAATAAATAAATAATATTCTGTGGTAATGTCTGTCATTGAATGGCGTACCTCAAAAGTACAGAAACCTTGTGAAGGCTCTTGACTCGAACACTACTAGTCGAGTTAGAGCTTATGGCGAACTGTCATCTGCTTTTGCAACCTCAAGTGGTGTCCGTCAAGGCTGTCCACATTCTCCAATTTTGTTTAACTTCATCATAGACCTACTGATGGAAATAACATTCTCGTCGACTGAATTCTCGGGTATTGACCTCCTTCCAGGAGGTCCACTTCTCGACTTAGAATACGCAGATGACATAGTCCTGTTCGGTGAAGACACTGATAAAATGCAGAGTCTTTTGGTAGCACTAAGCAACAATGCCAGAATGTTTAGAATGCGCTTCTCTCCCTCTAAATGCAAGTTGTTGCTTCAGGACTGGTCTGTGTCAACACCTGAACTAAGGATAGGGAGTGAAGTAGTCGAACGCGTTGACAACTTCACTTATCTTGGAAGTCTGATCAGCCCTAATGGTTTGGTGTCGGACGAAATCTCAGCACGGATTCGAAAAGCTCGTTTGGCTTTTGCCAACTTACGTCACCTGTGGCGAAGGCGAGATATCCGTCTATCAATAAAAGGACGAGTATACTGCGCGGTGGTCCGTTCTGTTTTACTTTACGGCAGCGAAACATGGCCATTAAGAGTAGAAGACACTCGTACGCTACTAGTATTTAACCACATATGCCTTAAAAATATTGCTAGCTTCTGCTGGGATCGCCGGGTAAGTAATAGTGAGGTTCGACGCAGGTTATTATGGAATGATGGTAAATCAGTTGATGAGGTTGTGAATCTTCATCGACTGAGATGGTTGGGCCACGTGTTACGTATGCCTGAACACCGATTATCACGATGTGCAATGCTAACTGGTGTCCGGGATGGTTGGAAGAAAGTTAGGGGCGGCCAAACCAAAACGTGGCATCAGTGCTTGAAGTCACTAACTTTAGTTTGAGCCATGTTGGTAGATGCAGACTACTTGGTTGAGGTCCGCGTGACTTTCGTAACCGATGGTTGGAGACTGGGTGACATGGCTCAAAATCGACCACAATGGCGTAGGTGTATATATTCTCTGTCTTCCCTTAAACTAAGAGATTAAAATCACTTCATATCTTTCTTTCTACTAACTAATTCTTTCTTCCCATACTATATCCTTATATGCAATTTTTCTCTATATATGATCACCATTGACCTAACCACCTATGAATCCGGTGTTCATCTAGCTATGCTAATGCGGTATGGCAACCTGGACCGATACATATATGTGCCTGGTCCTACGTTGTAGCTGACTGATCAGGAGTATTATTAACCTTTTAAAGTATGAAATCTAAATATGTACTTAAAAAGGGTTGGGTTATTTGTCCTTTTCAACTGGATACTAGTGATTTATCTTGTGATAACTATCAAGTGTTTTGATCAGACTTTAACGTTCTAAGTTAGTAGCTGCTGGAAACAAATGGCTGTCGATACTTATGACTACATGTTTTGTGATTTTGAACTCTACAGGTTTCTTTGAGTGTGCAATGTACCGCCTTAGGTGACTGTAATTAAACTGAAAAGAGGCTTAGAGGATTTAAACCCTGAATATCTCAATCCTACCTGGTAGAACGATGGACGGCAGATCTGACTGTAATCTACTTCAGATGTGCTATCTTTAGAAGTCTATCATTACGTTTGCTAGCATCACAAATTATTATCTTCAATTTTCTAATCTTTTCTAAGCTAAAAGCTTTGCTAGTTTGGATAGTTTTCATTTTGGAACTTTTATTTGGATATGTAAAATAGTCATGTTTATAACACGTTTCTTATAATTATCTAATCCGTTATCTCCGATGTTCATTCTTATCTGATTCAACTAAGTAATAAATTAACGAACCATGTGTTGACGGTTAAGTATTGGTTTTTCTGGTAATTATCTATTTGTAAATTATTGCTTTTCTAGTACTGATGCTTAGTTGTCACTTAATCTATTTAATTGCTACTAATCTACTATTCATAAGCTCGAATCTCCCAAAATAGGGTTGTTTTATATTATTCACAGTGCTTTTGTACTTATTGAGCTCCCCTAAATTTATCTTTAACTTGTTTGTTTAGGTTACTATGAATGTAGATGGTCCCCCACCTCCTGAAGATGCCGCCCGAGTTCCGCTCCCTACAGCAGGTGCTTGGTCAACTGGAGTTAAGCCATTGACTGGTATTGCTGTCGGGCGCGGCATGCCCCTTGCGACCCCAGCAGCAGCTATTGCCCCAGCTCCACCTGCTGGTTTAGGTGGGCCAGTTTGGGGAGTCGGAGCACCAGCACCGGGTCTGATGCAGCCACGAGCGCTTCCTGGCATGCCACCTCCACCTCCTCCCCCTGCAGGCGCACCAACTGCGGCGTTCGGTCGTGGAATGCCAACTGTCACCGCTGTACGAGGATATCCTCCTCCTCCACCTCCACCTCCTCCTGGATACCATTGAGACGCAATCTGACTCATGGTATCTATCTCAGATAACCACTTATTATCGCGGAGACGTTTTGTAAAAGCATTTACTTGTTTCAATATACTTTTTTAAGCACTTTGACGTTCATATTTTCTATAAAATCCTTTGCTGTGGGTTGCTTCCCTCCTTTTACTAATTGGATTTCGTGACTGACACCAATAAAAAAACGTGGATTATTTATTTAATAGGACTAAAGGTTATCCAGCTCAATATTAGGTTTTTACAATTAGGCTTGGTGAACAAAAAAGGTATGGGACTGTTCTTTAAGAGAAGGATGAAATGACAGCCCTTATTTACATATTTTTCTCTGTAAAAGCTCAACTTTTTTTTCATTGTATTTAGGCATCTATTATTGTCATTTATTCAGTTGTTTAAATCATAGTTGTAATGGTTCCTTGCTAATTCGAATGCGAATATTGTAAATTTTATTCAAATTAAAAGCACAATATTTCTATTGATAATATATATTCGTAATTATAATGGAATACAAAAGTTTATCGGTTAAGAGATTCTATGGAGATACTATTAGACAGAAATAAATAATAGTTTATACTAAATTGTGCAAGAGTTCTATTCTAAAGATGGGAAATGTTAATTGGTTGTTTGGAATGCGTTGTAAGGTTACTTCATTCGTCCACTTTACACATCTACTTTCTCAACTCCATTTTTAATAGTGAACAATATTTCTTCTCCTAGAAAAGAAATAACAAGTGCTGTATTATTAACAAGAGATTCATATTTTGCTATCGATGTTTGTATAGTTGCAAATCGACTTACTTTTTAGGTAAGTAGCAAGTTGTGGGTCATTTGCTTTTAGTGCCAAATTACTTGGTTGTTTCCCATAAATATCAGTAATTATTGGGCAGGCTCCAGCTGTGATTAGAGTTTTACAGATGACCCTCCTTCGACTTGCCGCGGCTTTATGTAGTGCTGTTTGCTTCCTGAGAGAAAGACAAAACGAACATTTGAAATATTTTATATGGAATTAGCATACATGCTTGATTAAAGGTTGCGTCTTATTTTTACAGTAAGCTGTTTTAGAGTATGATGTACCTCACGATTTTGAAAGTGAACTAGTTTCCCTAAACTGTCGTTTTGAGTTGTATTTTTCAAATGATTTGTCAAACATACAGACTTTCTAGCTGATATGTTAAACAAATTGCCTAGTCGATGCTATTTCTATGCTAGTTTTACTTTGGTCAGTGCTATATATTTATTAACTAACTATATATTTTCAAGAGGCTCTCCTGTGACATTTGTGTCTATCTTTGTTCTCCCGGTTAGCGTGATTTTCCTATCCCATTATTTCAACTGTTAATTACCTCAAGTATTTTAGACTGAGCACCATGCTATTGAGACTTATCTTCGGTATTATCTGATTTCGAATAAGATATGAGTGTTTGCTATTTATGAACTTCATAATCATATAAAAAAGTTTGGATAGTTTGAATACAATTCATGTACAAGAAGTAAATGATTAGATATTTCTCCGGACATTTGTGTCTACATGCTAGATGAATGGTTAATATGTTATTCTGGGAATATGTATGCTCCCTTGCTTATGGTTATTGTTGCTAGATTTCGTTAAGGCATTCTATATTCGGCCACTAAGTCCTTGCTTTGAAGCCTGCTCCGCACGTTTCCCTTTCGGTATACTCAAATACCTGGTTAATGAGTTTATTTAAATTTATTAGAATATATAAATATTAATTAAGAAGGCCGATACTTACTTTTCATATTCTTGTAAATCGATTAATTTTTCTGGAACTGGAATGAAATTTGCAATTAGTCTGTTAATATCTAGTCATCTATAAGTGTAAATCTAAATGAATTGTAAACTTTAATCAAGTATTTATTACTTGGATCAGTGAAACATAAATGGGAACCAGATATTTATTTATTCATTAGAGCTTTACATGATGGAATCTCGTCTTTCAAGCTGGATAGCTTAATCGTGGAGCTTTCATTTTATTTCTGAACAACATTATTATTATTTGAACACATAGATATTGGTACAAGGGGGCACCAAATAGATATACGCCACATAATTCATTTGATTTGTGCGAGGGCTGGGATACTGCTCGGTTGCCCAAACTGATGCATGTGATTTTCTTAGGGGGCCACACCCGGACACTTCGACCTAAAGGTCTGATCCACAAGACAGTGGAGCAACGTAAAGAGATGCAGTCCAATGGTAGCCGGTGGCCAACGACTGGTACATATGCCGTTCGCTCCTTCAAGATCCTGGAGTCCATGTGCACGATTGGTTTGGAATGAGGGTTTTCGAACTCAGATGGATCGTTCCTATCCACCAACCCGGTTAAAGCGCCGGATATTCGCTTTTAGTCCTGTCAATTTCGTAAACTCCAACGGGAAGGCAGTGAGTCGGACTTTCCTGATAATGGCTGTATACGCGCGTGGTCATGTGAGAGCATTTCGAGAGGGAGAGCGGACTCTCTCTTCAGGTAGAAGCGTTTGATTTAGTCATCAGTCCAAAATATAGATGGATCTTAATAAATTGTGACAAATAATGGCCTTCACGTTATTGCAGAATATAAAAGTAAATTAACTATATTGGATAAAATAGTTGTCGCCGCCATCTTCGTTTGCATGGACAACTAGCTGTCAAACGCCGCAATTTGTCATCGTTCATATCAATGCACATGGATGATTATGAACACGTTCGACTGAAGAAATGTCAAAATATTGGACAGAGAGAATGGTAAGGAAATCAGAGTTTTTAGAGGTTTAGAACTCAGGTCAGTTGGTAAGATACATAATTGGATATAATTGTTTGAGTGAAAGGAATTTTGATAATTATTTTAGTTTTGAAAGTTGGATTTACACGATCCACTGAAATCAGCTAGATAACCAATGAAACCAGAAAGTAGAAAATCGATGTGTACACTCGACTTTTATGAAGCACAAAAGCTTAGAAATCAAGCTATTGTATTCTTACTAGGATGTCGCAAAATTGTTGAGCTTACATCAAAAAATAAACATTCTGAGTTCAATCCACTTGGTATTGTTTACTTGGGTCTTCCCATTGATGATTAGGACTGCAATTGATCAGTCTCTTGTTGGTATATGTGCATACTGTGCGTATTGCCCTCATTCACCAGTATCATAAACAAATATATCAGAAGCGGTTTTGTGGAGTAATTTAAACAGTTGCGATCATGAGTCAATTGAAGATAGACTAACATGGAAAGCCTGGAAGCACTGGACGGCCGTTTAGTCCTATTGTGGGACTCCTCAGAAGTGCACATCCACGACCCCGCCTCGCGGGTCCACAGAACCCCTTCCGATACTAATCAGCATACGCTCATTAGTGACTGGCTTCAAGATATATATCCTGGAGTTCTAGTGAGAAGCAGTAACCAGTGGAGTTCAACTGGGGCAGTTGTGAGGTAGTAACTCACTGATGACAATGTTGGATATGTCGCTCAATTTCTTGAATTGGTTGAAGTCAGACATTAACACCGTTGGATGCCGGCTCAGTGGTCTAGTTGGTTAAGCGCCTGGCGCGAGACTGATAGGTCCTAAGTTCGGATCCCGCAAGGCGGGGTCGTGGATGTGCACTGACGAGGAGTCCCACAGTAGGACGAAACGGCTGTCAAACAGTGCTTTCAGGTTTCCCATGATGGTCTAGCTTCAATTGACTCATGAATTCAACTGTTTAAACAAATATATCTTGGACGAATGCACCGCTGAAGAGACCTAGTGTTGGATCGAGACAGTCATTCTTTGTTACATGGTTTCATTGACTTTCCTAACTAGCTTGAGTTGACGGTGAAAGTTACATGACAACACAATCTAAACCAATTTCAGCACTTATATTGATCAATAATTTTCAAATATTATTAACTTCATAATAAATGTAATTTAGTTAATATCAAATGTCTAAGATGTAAGTTTTGTCTAATTTAGCATTTATCATTCAGATGTACCATCATTTCGATATTTATGTTCACATGAGATTTTGAACCTAATATCTTTTACTTCAAGTATATATAACACGTTATCAATTGATCGACCATCAAGTACAAATATCAGTTAACTTGTTCTTCAAATATAACGCAAACTCTTACTAATACTGTTATTCTTATCTGAATTTTTAACGAAACAAAAAAGAATATATGAAGAGAGAGATTAATTATTTGTATGAAACTTACTGTACTTTAAGAGATATTCAATAACTTTTACATGTCCAAATTTTGCTGCTAAATGTAAACATGATCTTCCATATTTATCTAATGCATGTATACTTGCACCAGTATTTAACAATAATTCAATATAATTAATTAAACCATTATGTGATGCTCTGAGAAGAGCTAAAAAATTGAATGAAAACAATTTATTAGTTTAGAGGTTGTAGAGATTGTTAATTTTTTGATTGAAATCATTAGTCAATTGAAGCTAAACCATCATGGAAAACCTGGAATCACTGTTTGACGGCCGTGTCGCCCTATAGTGGGATTCCTCAGCAGTGCGCATCCACGGTCCCGCACTCCGCGGGATTCGAACCAAGGACCTATCAGTCTCACGCCAGCCGCTTAACCAACTAGACCACTGAGCCGGTTGGTATCTAATGATGTTATTGTCTAACCTCAACCAATCCACGAAATTGTGCGACCATCTTCCATTGTACTGAGGTAGACACCTGTTTCTACCCGATACGGATTAGCTCCACTGTTCACAGCTTCTCACCAGAACTCCGAGAATTTTCTCACTAGGAGGAGTCCCATACTAGGACGAAACGGTCGTCCAGTGCTCTCAGGTTTTCCATGGTGGTCTAGCTTCAACTGACTCATGATTTCAATCAGAAAACAATTTATCTTTAAAAAAAATTTATTTACTACTAAAATACTAATAAAGATAAAAAATCAATTTCATTGAATAATACAAACATGATTTAGTTTGATTGTGGAGTTTTCATGAATCAAATTTCTAGGAAAATAATGATGTATAATGGGATAAACGATTAAATGTTTACGAATGATTACACAATACTAATGATGAGACATTAGAAATGGTTACTCGAAGTATTAGAAATATATGAAATCCCAAAATGACAAAATAATTGTAATTTATCATAGGAAAGTTGGGTATGTTGTATTTTATTATTGTGCTGGAAAAGAAACAAAACCATCAAAATGTAACTCTGGAGTATGATTTTTATGAAGTTGCCGGCGAAACTATAATTTATGCACGAAGATAAAAGATCTCGTATTTCGGCTTAAAATTCACCCATCCATTTGGATAAATAGAATTTTGTCATTATAGCTGATTTCAGTTCGTGATGAAAACCCTTAATCTATTTCCTAACCTTAACCATCAACTGTGAATCATAATTCGAATTCTTCACATAGGTTTATGACCCTCGTTTGGTCCTAGTTATTAGATGGACGCTCTTAAGGTCATTCTAGCGTCGCTCAAATGGTTGTCCATAAATTTTAGTCTCATCAAGTTGCCTTCTATGAGGTAAATGATTTTAGAAATAACGACAAAGTAAAAAAGTTAGATTAAAGGAAAACATTTAAACATTGGTGGCACAATTATTGACAACAATCATGGAAATTCACTGTCAACACAAGAAACTATCAGTCACTTATTGCTCACTTCTTTGTTTACATTTATATTAATGATGAAATTTAGCAAACAAAACAATAAAAAACGACATGATTAAACTTTCTAGCTTAGTGTAAAATATAACTTCACTAGAAAAGGCTAATCAACGAAAAAGAAACATTCCTAGAAAGTTTCCTCTTTTTGAATTATGATGCATAATGTATTTAAATGAGGAATCAATGATCTTGGGTGCTGTTAGAGGTACAAGGGTGGTTATCACTTCCCGGTTGCCCACACCGTGTAAGGGGTCTTGTAGAGGTGTCTGAAAAAAATAGGGTTAGAGGTGGTCTTGGTGACCTGAAAGCGTGAACGCAGTGCCCAAAGAACAACTGCTTGAGGCCGGTCACACGCTTTTTTCGTCTTAGCTCCGTACTTGTTGAGACCTTATCGCCCGAGAAGGAAATCCTTGAGATTAGGCGAGGTGTGTATTTTTAGGGTCGACCTTTTCTAACTCCTCCACTCCTTATGGGAAGGCAGCATCACTACTATGCTGGTTTTCTGAAGGAAAAACCTTACTGCTGTCACACCTCTGTACAGTCAGCAGTACGACTTCGCCTTAGGACCTTGGGCTTGGTACTTTTGGTCTTACTGTTCTTCAACCTACATGTCTGGCATGGTAGGACATTAACAAACGATTGTTCCAGCTAGTATACATCGATTGGTTCATCACGTTGGACGAGCCCGACTACCACGTCAAAGTAGAAACAACAATTTACTGTTTTACTTATCTAGCCAGTCATATCAAACCCTATAAGTTGGATAAATTCTAAGTATTGTTTACACTTGAAGTGCTAAACTAATTTTTAAAGAAAGTTCTAATAAATACAGATATCAGATTCTCATCAACTTAGTATATCGATAAAATTATGTACTGTGTAAATAGAAAGTATCGTAACTATTGTGGCATATACTACTTATGTCTTTCAGTATAAGTAGTATATAACACTAATCAGAAGTGAAACGTATAGCAGCAGAAGTCTATGAAGATCGAATTGAAGAAAAAAGAAAAGGAAATATAAAGAAATTATGAATTAGAAAAATCATACAGAATGTAAAGGGAAATTGATGGAAGATTTGTAAATGAAGCATTTAATGCAGTTTGTTGAACTGTCATGATTTATAATTATGTAATAATCTTGACACTGATTGATAATTGACTGGTGATCAGTTTCACATTGCCTGAGCCTTAATACTAACTATAGTCTAGTCAAGGTCTTCAATAGGTTCAGTTACGTGGCGTCACATTGAAATTTGTTAGCTGTTGAATGATTTCAAATAATCGATGAGAAAGCAATAACATGCATTTTGTGCTGGTTAAAACTCATTAACAAGGTCATCTATATGGAATGCTCAATGAATTCGTATTCTATCCAACTAGTTCAATGTTATAGATGTTGCCTGAAATAGTTAACTGATTTATGTTTAAATTTGTGTGAGAGGGTCATAAGGAAGCGACGTTTATCCGCTTCAATTTGTAGGAGGTGGTAATGTTAAGTGAGCATTGGGCAGACGACTTGACATTTCAGTAATTAGAGCTTAACATGTCATGAGACCAGTAATATTCAATAAACAAATTAAAGGCCCATTGTACCCTTTACATGATATTGTAAATTGCAGCTAAAACTTGATCTGTACTTTTTAAAGCAATTATATTTGTAGAATGAGAAGAAACAAGAAGTTGTTTCAAAAAAGGACTAAAGAAGTTGAATAATATAATTTCTGAACATATCTTAGATACACTTGGTGAGTAACATAAAATCTTTTCAAATGATTGATGAACAACTAAGATCTAGTTTTTGATTATTTTCGAAAGCTTCAGAAACTTGATTTATGTATAAAAATAAATAATGGCTAATCTTTGTTTAACCTAGTACCCTTATGATGTATGCTACTTCTATCGACATAAGTAGTATATAACGCTAGTTAGGAATAAGATGTCTGACAATAGAAGCCCAAGAAGATCGAAGAGGAAAGAACAAGAACAGAAAGCAATTGGTATGGAAACGAAGGAACATTCAAGTTTGAGACAATTGATTGACATTTTGCAAATCAAGTATTTACTGTATGATTCTCAGATTTTACTAAAAGATTCTGTAATTTTATGTTCTAAAACATTCGATTCTCTCCACTTGTGTTCTCGTCTACTAAACCATAACTCATAGCTTCCAAACTCTATAATTTAAATAGTTTATTAGGTCTTTTTTGAAACATAGATCTAACTGAGCTTTGTTGATTTTACTCTTATTTATTGTAGTTTTTCTAGGTTAAATGTACACCTTTTTCTAACAATATGGTGTAATGCTATTATCATTTACTTTTCAGGATTTTCTTTTTCAGTCTGTTAGACTTTGTTTAAAATCTTACTGACTTACGCATGTTACTCCTCGTGGTGGAGCATAGGCTGCCCACCAGTACTCTCCATCCAACCCTGCCACGGGCAATCTTTTCCAGCTATTTCCTGTTGTTATTCACCCTTTTTACGTTAACTTTTATTTCCCGACTGTGCTCTTTGGCCTTCCTCTTTTCCGCTTCCTTTCAGGATTCCAAGTCAGTACTTGCCTCATGATGCAGTTTGATTTCTTCAATGTATGTCCTATCCACTTCTATCATCGTTTCCTAATTCGCTCTCTAGCTGGAAGCTGGTTTGCTTTCTCCCACAGAAGGCTTTTACTGATAGTATCCGGCCAATGGATGTTGAGTATCTTGCGTAGACAACCATTTATAAATAATTGTACCTTCTTGATGGTGGTTGCTGTAATTCTCCAAGTTTCAGCTCCGTACAGTGGAACTAACTGCCTTGACGTTCGTATTGAAGATTCTGACTTTAATAGGGGTTGACAGTTGTTTTTGAGTTCCGTATGTTCTTCAGTTGTAGGAATGAGGCCCTTTTTTGCCAATCCTCGCCTTTTCATCTGGATCCGATTATCCTTGTTCGTCAATGATACTTTCCAGGTATATGAAAGATTCCCCATCTTCTAGAGTTTCACCATCAAGTGTGATTAGATTGATGTTCTCCGTGTTGTATTTGAGGATCTTGCTTTTACCTTTGTGTATGTTGAGGCCTACTGATGGAGAGACTGCTTCTACACTAGTTGTCTCCATCTGTATATGTTCGTGTTTATGAGATAAGAGGGCCAGGTCATCTGCGAAGTCCAAATCATCTTCTTAATTCTGAGTTGTCAATTGTTTTGTTTAAAATCATATCACAACATAAAGATAAGTGTCCGCATGAATTTACAATCACATTTATTTCTGAATTTGTTTTTCGCAGGTCACCAAAACATCCGATTATATTGGCTTGTAGCTAATTTAAGTAGTATCACTTGACCTTGACATATTCTCTTATTTTTCTTTATAGATGTAACACAAAAATAGATTACATTGTTTACAATCAATAAATTGTGTTATATGAACTCATATATATACATATTACCATAATATTTATTATTTACCTTTATTGAGACAATGTTGTAATTGTTGTGATGTAATTGGACTAATCAATTTTTCAGGCTTCTTCTTCTTCTTCTGATGATGATGATAATTTTTAGATTTCAATGATAAATCATTAATTCCTATAAAGAAAAAAGAATCGGTAATAAATTCATTATAATAATAGGTATATGGTGAGGAATAAGTAACTGACGAGTAGACCGAACCATGTTGGTAGGTGTAGACTACTTGGTTGGGGACCGCGAGATGATAGCAACCGATGGTTAGAGACCCTGAATGACATGGCTCAAAATCGTTTGCAATGGTGCAGGTGCATCCACTCTTTGTGTTCTCCCAAATTTTGATCTCCTGATTCCTCCTTGTCTCTTTTTTTCTCTTCCCAAATTTATTTCACTGTATTATACTCCTTAAATAACATCTCCAAACACTAATCTTCCCGATTACTGCTTATACTCTTACTTCCTCTACCACTACGGGATTTGAGTCGACATCTGCATCTCTGTGCTAATGTGGTATGGCAATTCGAACTGATGCACGTACGTACGAAGTTCTACGTTGTTACTAACTGACTGACTGAAATTTCAATACCATTAACAGACGAATGATCTATAAAATCAGTAGGTATTCTTATAATTATGTGTGCTGATTTTAAAATAACCAAAGTCTGCCCCCATTGAATCATCATAACAAGATGAAGATATTTTAACAGAAAGAATGTACTCTTGTAGGGTTTGTTATATTGAGTCTATGAATCATACTCTTTCCAAACATATTATCAGTTCAGACCTGATCTATATGTGCTTAGAAGCGTTTTGTTCAGTCTCTTAGTTTTTGATGTTCTTAACATATTTTCATATTTTTCTAAATTAACTTTTAACACGCTATTGTTTTTCGCTCTTCATTTATTTACTATTTATTTATTTAGAAACATAAACATGGGTACAAGGAGGCATCAAAAAGATATGCGCCACATAAATCACTCCATTTGTGTGAGGGCTGGGATACTGCTCGGGTGCCTAAACTGAAGCGGGTGGTTTTCTTAGGGGGCCACACCCCGAGCATTTGACCTAAAGGTCTAATCCATAATGCAGTGGAGCAACTTAAAGAGATGCAGTCCAATGGTAGCCGGTGACCAACGATTGGTTCATATGCCATTTGTTCCTTCAGGATCATGGAATCAGGGTTTTCCAACTTTCCTAGGTGGACTTCCTCTTCGCTCTTCATCTTCCTGTCTGTATTCTTTAAGCGAAGAATTATCTTCCACATCACTATTCTTTATCTTATTTTGATATATTCTTTTGTGTTTTTATCAATCATCATAGTCAATTATCTATGTGTTATTAAACTGTGGTTACTCTTTTAATACTTGTTGATGACAAATTAATTCTCCATTGCTTCTACCTGAAGTTTGTGCTGATGATGTCGTTCAGAAGAGAAGGATGAAAGCTCCACCACCATACCATCCAGCTCAGAGAACAAAATTCTCCATTTCTATTACGAATCATTGTATGTAAAAAAATTGTTATTATATATAAGTATCAGAAGGGGTTTTGTGGAGATTGTAGTAATTTCAATAGTTAAGATCATGAGTAAATTGAAGCTAGACCACTATGGAAAACTTGAAGGCACTGAATGGCCGTTTCGTCCTAGCATGGTACTCCTCCTTGACAGTGTAAATCTACGATCCCGCCTGCGGAATTCAAACCTAAGGGCTTCAGTCTCGCTGGTGAACGCTCAATCTACTATAGACCACTGAGCTGGCCGATATCCAACGGTGTTAATATCTAACCTCAAACAAAAAAGTGAACATTACCTTGAATAGATGCTGTCACCTTTATATCAATATCATCATCATTAGTAGTAGTAGTAGTAGTAGTAGTATTATGAACGTCATCTTCATCGCTAGATATAATTTGTATTTCCATTGTATTATTACTAGATTCACTGGTATAATTAATATTTTCATAGTTTCTTAATGATCGTTCTTTATTCTCTTTATATTGTTGAAATTCTGTTTCAATTTTTTGTCTCATTATTATATCACTATTTGAATTGATTAATTTAATAGAATCATTTGGGGAAGACCATACATCATGTTGTTGTAACAATGATAAATCGATTGGAATATTATTACTATTATTATTAAGGAGAATATTAGTTGAGTAGTGTTTTGTTAAAGTACTTGATGTATCTTGAATACTACTATTAGTAGTAGCAGTAGTACTGTTATCACTATCACTATGAGTATTAGTAATGATATGATTGTTTTTATAATTAAACGGATTCATTTTATATATTGTATACATAAAAGGATTATCTTGGCATAAATCAATTGGATTATTATTTATTATATCTATTTTATTATCTATTTGTTGTACTGGTTTGTCACTAGGGGATTCTTTATCAAAAACATGAGTTAGATATAATGTTGAATTGATGATATCATCATTCCTTTGAAACAAAAACAAAAAAAGAGAAAAGAAAAGAAAAAAGAAAAAAGTTTTAACAAACATATCAACTACTTGTATAATGATTAGAATTGTTCATAGATTGTAGATTGTTTTAAGAATTTCAAAAGAATTTAATAACAAGTAAATATAGTTTTAAAGTAATATTCATTTGGTGTTGTTTTATTTGGATCTTCCGATTGTTATTTAGGACTTTAATTGATCAATCTCATGTTGTCATATGTACATCCTGTGCGGACTGTCTCGATATAACTTGAAGTCACAAGCATTGTAAGCAAAAGATGGATAGTGGGTAACAGTAGAATTTAGGACGCGTGTCACTTCGTCCTATTTGGGACTCGTCAGCTAGATGTACCTGCATCTCGGAGTTCGTGTTCACACTGGAACTCGAAACCAGTACCGTTCGGTTTAAACGCCGTCGCGTTCTCCACCTAGATACTGAGTCCTGATAGCCACTTGCCTGTGCAATGGGGTGAAGTTTAAATTCACTTAGTGTTGTTCAATGATAACGAGATAGGTAATTATTTCATTTGGAAACAATTGAACAAGACTATAATTTATGGACGAACCAATCATGTATAAGATAATGAGTAATGAATTTTGGCACAAAATTCATGCATACATTTGGCTAAATAGAGTTTTGGCATTATAGCTGATATCCGTTCGTGATGAAAACCCTAAATCTTATTCTTAATCTTAACCATCAACTGTAAATGAGAATTTTAACTGCTTTATAACCCTCAGTAAGTGTCCACTTGCAAGGTCACTTCAGTGTCTCTCAAAAAGTCATCCATAAATTATAGTTTCACTAACAATTACTTTTTTTGTAGACTAGAATGATTGTGCTCTTTCAGTTAAATTTAGCATGTTTTTTTTTCATTCTATTTGGTACTTATCAGTTGGACGTATAACAATCCTTTCTAATAATGTATAGATTATGTTCTTATGTTCATAATTCCAGTGTTATTTCTGAAAGTGAAATATAGTCTAAACTATTGTGATTGTGAATTAGTGATATTAATAATTTTCATCTTTGTGGAGATTGTAGCAGTGGTCTAGAGGTTAAGCATTTGTGTACACGGTAAGAAGTCTTAGGTTTGAATCCTACATGTGGGATCATGGATAAGGGCTGCTAAAGAGTCCTATACTAGGACGAAACGGCTGTCTAGTGATTGTAAGTTTTCATTGTTGGTGTAACTTAGATTGGTTGATGAACTCAACTATTAAAATATGTTTACACTGTTGTGAATATGAATATAAAGGGAAACCAAATATATTTATTTATCATCGGAAAATGTTTAAAAGAGATTAATATGAAAGTTTTTAACTTGTATATGATTGATGATTAGTATATACTAAATACCATGACAGAATATGATATACAGTAGTAAATCTATTCTGTAAATGAAATCTACAAACATGGAATTAGTCATTATATTATCTACTTACTCTATTCTCGAATTTATCAACCCAATCTATATGATTGAACTGCAAATATTAGTTTCAAAGAACAAAACAAAAAGACTATTCGGTCAGGAGTTCCTGCTGATATTTTTTTTTACAGCAATTCAAAAAGTCTTCAATATTGTTTATCTGATCTCAATGAATTATCGTCGATGTTTTCTAAATGATGTAATATTGTAGATCTGAAGTGAATGAAGAAGTCAAATTTGAAAGATCAATTTATTGTTTAATACAACATTACAGAATATTTTGATAACATTTAGAAACTATACATTCAATGCATAATTTTCATATCATACATTAGTTATCTTTTACAACCTTCATTCTTATTGTTATTTCAACTGGTTATTGGTTTACATTCCTTTGATCTTTTAATTCTCTCTTCAAACAATCATCTATTACTATGCATTCCACTTCGAATTAATGTTACATACTACTTCTATCTGTTAACATAAGTAGCAGATATCACAGATTTTATGCATAGACATTGTAATACTTGTAATAGTTTAATTTATAATTACTTTTTCTCATAAGTAGTGAATAATTACAATGTTTTACATTAATTAATTTTAATAGTTGAGATGATGAATCCATTGAAGCTAGACCATGATGAAAAACTTGGAAGCACTGGATGGGCTTTTCGTTTTATTGTGGGACTCCTCCTTGGCAGTATGTATCCATATCAATTGACTGATGATCTGAACTATTCAAATTATTATAATATCCACAAAATCCCTTCTCGTATTAATCAACGCACGCTCACTAGTGACTGACATCAAGAGGTATTTCCTGGAGTTCTAGTGAGAAGCAGAGACCAGTTGAGTTCAACCAGGTCTGTTGTAAGATAGTAACTCACTGAAAACAATGGCGGATGTGTCTTTCATTTTCGTAGACTGATTGAAGTTAGACATTAACACCATTGGATGCCAGTCAGCTCAGTGGTCTAGAGGTTAAGCGTTCGCGTACGAGATTGATAGGTCCTGAATCCAAATCTCACGTGGCGGGATCACGGATGCGCACTGCTGAGGAGGAGTCCCACAATAGAACAAAACAGCTATCTAGTGTTTCTAGGTTGTCCATGTTGGTCTAACTCCGACTGACTTATGAACTCATCTATTAAAATTACTATATTATCCACAAAAATCCCCTTCTGAAATTAGTTTTCAGTTAAGAAAAGAAGAGAATTTTCTAATCAATGGTATCATTTACTCATTTTGTCCTATTGTATTTATAGCACATTTAATGTACGTCTATGTCTATCATAATACAGAAAGGCTTTGGATCACTCTTAACTATTCAATGAAAGTGTTTTCAAGTATAAAGAAATGAATGTATAAATTAATAAATGATACATAACAGTGCAATAGATAATATGATATAGTCACTTGAAAATTTGTATAAATGAAAGAGGATAATTCACTTGAATCAGAGGTAACAACTAAAAAAAATAAAAATAACTTGATTTCACTTGAATAAATCTTTACTAGACTCATAGATCTGGTTTGAAATGATGATTTATTGGCATTTCTGATGAGTATACGTTTCTGGTTTGAGTCAGATATTATCTCATTTGATAATTAGTGTTTGAAATCATTTGTTATGATCAGAGTTGATGAACTAGTCCAGAAATGATTGGCAATTGTAGAATAATTGTCAAAAATGTGTTTGAACAGAATACAAATTCATTATTTTATTTAGACTTAATTAAAAGCAAAAGGGAGGATCGCCAAAGCAAAGAGCGCATTCCTACAATTGAAGAACATATGGAAATCAAAACAACTGCCAAACAATATCAAAGTGAGAATCTTCAATATGAACGTCAAGGCAGTTCTATTGTATGGAGCTGAAACTTGGAGAACTACAACAACCACCGTCAAGAAGGTACAAGTATTTACAAATAGCTGCTTTCGCAAGATATTCGACATCCATTGACCGGATATCATCAGTAAAAGCCTTCTGTGGGAGAGAACAAACCAGCAACCAGCTGGAAAGCAAATTAGGAAAAGACGATGGAAATGGATTGGACACACATTACGTAACTCGTCAAACTGCATCACTGGGCAAGCCCTAACTTGGAATCCTAAAGGGAAGCGGAAAAGTGGAAGGCCAACGAGCAAATTACGTCGGGAAATAGAAACAGATATGAAAAAGATGAATAACAACAGGAAATAGCTGGAAAGGATTGCCCATGGCAGGGTTGGATGGAGAGTGCTGGTGAGCGGCCTATGCTTCACCACGAGGAGTAACAGGTGTAATTAAGTAATTAAAATGATGTACATAAATAACTTTTATTCATATTATGATGTGTGCTACTTATATAGACATGAGTAGTGTATAACGATAGTCAGGATTAGAATGTCAGGCGGCAGAAGGTTGAGAAAGTAAGAACGGGAACAGACAGAAATCGGTATGAGAATTTAGGAGCAATGAAGTCTGAGATGATTGAGTGATGTTTACTAAAGGAACAGTCAAGTTTAAGACAATTGATTAACATTTTACAAATGAACAATTTACTGTATGGTTCTCAAAGATTTTGTAAGTTTGTGCTCAAATACATTCCATTGTCCTCAATTATGTTCACATCCACTACAATATTAACCGGATTTAAAGCAATAACTTGGAGCTTGAAGCTAAATACCGCTATTTATTGGTCTATTCAATTTCTATTAAAAATTCTTTTGAACAGATATCATTCATGACAATGAGCTTGAAATGTTCAAATACAGTGATATATTCCATTCCATTTATTTGTCTTGTTTAATTGATTTCTAAGTTGAACTTTTGTCTACTTTCAAAGGTATTCTGTGAATAAATTTTCATTCATTTGTTTATCGTTTTTAAGTTTTATTCTGCATCAAGGGTTGATCTTATTGGCGTGACTATCACGAACCATTGGATATTTGTTTCTTCTTTTTTTCTTCTAGTGTAGAACACTTTAACAATGTGCATCCACAATCCTTCTACTCAGAATCGATTAGCTGTTGGAAAAGCTCTATGGAACTTTGGATAGAAATTCTTTCTTATTATACAAAATGGTGATATTTAATGGTGATAGACGAAAATAGAAATTTGAAGTGGAGATATTGAGTAAACAGCGAAAAATTCTATTGATATACAGAAGTTCTTTATAAAAATGGTCACTTTTAGACAATTGATTTATTATGTTGAATAACTAATTTGATTATTGATTGATCTTTTTCATTGAATTCTGTAAATGATAACGTGAAAACTTACTGTAATCAATATAACTTTATCATATGAATTTTGATGAATTTAAACAGATAGAAGTTGATGAAGATTTGTAGCTCAAATGAATGATTTTAATGGAGTTTTGTTCTGTGAGCTGGATGGTTTGTTCGTGGAGCTTTCATTATTCTTCTGAACAATGAAGAAGAAAGATGAAAAATTCACGACTCAACCATCCAGCTTAGAGAACAAAACTCCATCAAAAAGAAATAGGAGTTACAGGTTATATTGTCAACTTTCATGTTTTACAACTTTAAACTTTTATAAATAGTAACTATAGATATTAAACTCAATGTTACAGTCTAAGTAATTCAATTTTAAAAAAAACTTTTTGAAACTTAACAATTCAATTTTTAAATGACTAGTATTTTCTAAGGATGAAGGGTATTAGGGGATGATGGAAAATCATTTAAGGAGGTTGTGAATATTCATCGACTAAAATGGTTAGGCTATGTGTTACATATACCTGAACACTGATTATCACGACAAGCAATGCTAATTAGTGTAGGGGATGGCTGGAAGAAAGTTAGGGGTGGCCAAACCAACCAAAATGTGGAATCAGTTATTGAAGTCACCAACTTCTAGTCTGAGCCATGTTCATAGATGCAGATTACTTTGTTGAGGTCCGAGTGACTATTGTAACCAATGGTTGTAGACGATGTGTGACATGGCTCAGAATCGATCACAATGGCGTAGGTGTATACACTCTCTGTCTTCCCTTAAACTATGAGATTAATATTGCTTTATATCACTGAGATTAGATTAGATTGAAACACACATGACATTGATCACCACTCAGTGACTACTCAATTGTGACTACATCTCAGTTCTACATGAGATCGGTCGCGGCCCGGATAGCCCAGTGGTAACATCTCTGACTGTGAAGCTGGGCAACACGGGATCGAATCCGCCAGGGAGCACTAGTTCCCTTAAGATTACAGGTACACCTTGCTGACGAGTGCCAAGTAGTGCGAAACCCGGGTCCAGGGTTTCCTGTCGACTACCTCCAATCACCATCTAATCTCAACATGGTGCATGCAATGTCGAGTCACCTAGACTGGTAGCCACATTGTAACATGGTCGATAGCATTCAATATGGACCAATAAGGACTTGACACACATAACTTTAATCACCACTAAGTGATCAGTCGATTGCGATTGCTTTATATTATTCTTTCTACAAACTAAATCATTCTTTCTGCACTATATCCTTATATACAGTCTTTCTTTTCTATATTACTACTATTGAATTAACTACTTCCATGAATTCGCTGTTGATTTTGTTGTGCTAATGAGGTATGGTAACTTGGACCAATGCAATATATGTGCCTGGTCATACCTAGTAGCTGACTGACTGAAGGAGCTGTGCCAATATTCTATAAATGTTTCAACTGAAATCAGATCATAATAAAAATCATTCTTTAAAAATAGTTTCCAGTTTATATCAGAAAGAAAGATAAACAACTTTCTTTGATTAAAATAAAAAGCTTATTCAGCCTACCTGTTGTTGATTGAGCATAATAATAACAAATTCGGTAGTTTTTTATTTATTTATAACTGTTATATGGTTTGAATTGGGTAAAGTTATGAATAATGAAACATAAATTGTTCTTAATCACTAATTGACCTAATTGAAATGAGAGAAAGAAAGAACAAAGTTTATGTGAATTGATATAATGTAACTTACGGAATAAAAATTTCCCCTTCAAAAGATGTATTACTTGTGGAGATGAAGTTATTTTGTGACTGGGGCTTATCAAGACATTCATCATTATCAGCACGAGCATCATCATCAGCAGCATTATCATCGTCGTCGATGGAGTTATCATCATTATGATCATCATTCACATTCTGATTATCGGACGCTATAAGTTTACTTGCCTAAAATGATCAAAAAGGATATATATTAATTGTTTTTTGAAAATGTAATAATTTGTTAATAATAAACATTATGGTAGTTTATTGTCATGATATATTATCCAATTGTATGACTTCAAAAAATGTAATCTCCAGGAAAAAAATCATTTATATTTATAGAATATCATCAATTGATTGAATATGAACCATCGATTGGCAACTGACTGAGCGCTCTCCATAAGATTTGAACGATTTAGCCTTATTTACGTTACTATGGAGTTTTATAGTACGATGAAACAACTGTCTAGAATTTTGGTGGAGTTTTGTTCTCTAAGCTGGATAGTTTGGTCGTGAGATGGAGAATAGCTGAGGAAAGTGGAAGAAAAATGGTGCACTTAATGATAACGAATGCACATTACAGGACCCGCAAATAACAACACTTTATTGAGGACCAAAAGATAAAACTACAAAGGGCACTCACGTCAGAAGATTTGAAAATCTTGACAACAGACATCGAAATATTATGCAAACGATACAGAGAACAAAGAAGAAACTAAATGAGATCTCAAAACAACTCATGGGAGAAAAAACAAACAACTTCATGATCGACTTGTCGAAACAACCAGAAACAAAAAACACGACCAAGTCATCCAGCTCAGACAAAAAAAATCCACCAACATCATCCACCTGAGCTACAAATTTTCTCCACCATCTATCTCAACTGTTTAGAATCTCCTGGTTTTTACTGGTTGTCTAACTAAGGTAAGTTCTTGATGTAGAATGTAAAATTCAATAATTATAACGAATCACTTATACTAATATGATATATTTTGTTAAATTGATGTCTCACTAATTTTATGCCTCAGTGTATGTTTCTTCGAATTAGTTAAAACTAACTGTTCGATATTCTCATGTTTTCATAAATGGTATTGTTTTTTCAACTAATTCCTTTCAAGCAAAGATGGATAGTGGCTAGCAGTGGAATACAGGAAGCACGTTTCGTCCTATTTGGGAGTCTTCGGCTAGATGTATTTGCAGTCCTAAATAACAATGTGATGACACAAGCAAAACAACACCAAGTGAATTTAAACTTCACCACACTGCACAAGCACGTGGCTATCAGGACTCAGTAGCTAAGTAAAAAATGCGATGGCGTTTGAAGCGAATGGTACTGGGTTCAAGTTGAAGTGTGAACATCAACTCTGAGATGCCAGTTACATCCAACTGACGAGTTACAAATAGGAAGAAGTGACACGCATCGTGAATTCCACTGTTACCCACTATCCATCTTTGCTTACAATGCTTGTGACTTCAAGCTATATCGAAGCAGTTCGCTACCGATGCACATATGACAACATAAGCTTGATCAATTACAGTCCTAAATAACAATCGGACGATACAAGTAAAACAACATCAAGTGAATTTAATTCCTTTCGCTTATATCAGATAAGTATATTGAACGTTGAATTTATGATATCAAACATCAGTTTATTTAAACTGCATGTATATTGGGTTTATTTGCCGGCCACTAAGAAACTAAGAAAGCCATCATCCAGAAGATACAGGTATTTATTAACAGCTATCTACACAAAATACCTCGAATCAGTTGGCCAGACACTATCAGCAATAACCTACTGTTGGAGAGAAGAACCCAGATCCCAGTGTAGGAAGAAATCAGGAGGAAGCACTGGAAGTGGATAGGACACACATTGAGGAAAGCACCGAACTGCATCACAAGACAAGCCCTCACATGGAATCCTGAGGGCCAAATGAAAAGAGTAAGACCAAAGAACACATTACGTCGAGAAATGGAAATAGACATGAAAAAGGTGAACAAGAATTGGATGGAATTAAAAAAGAAGGCCCAAGACAGAGTGGGTTGAAGAATGCTGGTCGGCGGCCTATACTCCATTAGGAGTAACAGGCGTAAGTAAAAGTAAAGTAGGTATATTAGATTTTATACTATAAGCAACTTTAGGAATATCTGTTACATGAAGTTTTTATCATAAGTCTGTAAACAGTGTAAACCATTATGATACAGTTCATTTCATGTTATTAAACAAATATTTACTAATTTGGTTCAAAACATAGGCTCAATGTTTTTTTGTCGATCATCATTGATCTTTCATCAAAATAATGAACAATAATATCGAATCCATTATACAATTTGTTACATCAATAGTATTCAATCAGCACTATTAAGATAAAGGGAAAATGCTATTGATCAAGTTTTTTTTAATTTTATAGTAGCAGAATTATTAAGGCAGTAGAGTTATTCCAGAAGAACGAATTGGACTTTTGAGTCATCTGTTTAACATAAATCTCTCATTTTCTGTTATGTGATGGATAGAAATTAGCAGAGAGAAAAAAAGCACACTGCACAATGTCATTTAATTCATTGAAGAGAAAATCATGATCGGATATAAATAAACAACAAAAACAACAACAACAAAAAATGAAAACTTTGATAATCAAAACATAAATTTACGTCAATTGGATGTAATCTATTATGTAATTGATCCTTATCTTCCGATTCAACAACTTTCATTTCATAATTTGTTTCATATGTTAAACATTCCTTGACTCCTGATCGATTTAATTGGTTATCATCATTATCATTATCATCTTGTAGTAATGATGAATTAGATGGTAATGGAAGTAATAAATGATTATCAATTAAAGAATTAGCTATTGGATTATCATTATTATTATTATTATTATTATTATATGTTAAAGATGATTCTAATATAGAATCAATAAGAAATAAATCTTCCATATTACAAACATCCGTTAAAAAATGTACATTTTCTTGTTCTATATCAATACGAAAAAATCGACTAGCTGCAGTGGTTGCTATATTGATTTATTGAAGAAGAAGAAGAAAAAAAAAGAAAAGAAAAGAGAAAAAAGAAAAGAAATTATATTGAAAGTAGTATGTTACTTTAAAACATTTTAAACATATGACAATATAAGAATCTTAATTACATTTCAACTATTCAAAGTATTCCTAGAATATCTGTTGTGATATTTAGAAAAATATCCCAAAAATTATCCTATTAAGTATAATGTTATCCTTGAACTTGGAATGGTATCATTTTCCTATTAGTCAATATTTATTTCACGTGTCATTTTCCTACTGGTCAATATTGTACAAATGTTATTTTCTATTTTATGGTACGCTGTGGTCTGTTTGATTAGTATATAAATAGAGTATGTTTGAAATATAACGATTCATATCGCAGAGGCTGAGACTGGTGTTCTGGACTTAACTGACTGGTCTAGGCGTAAAGCAGGACCAATCAGAACTCTAGACTACTCGTACGTGTTTACGCATCATTGATCCGATCGATAAGTCACTACCTGCTAATCGGCGGTCATAAGATATAACAATATCTTAGAAGGTATAGTGTTCAATTAATTGATCCATGTTTTGCCTAACGTTCAATAGTTTGTCTTTTTTCATAGTACATTGAGTGAATAGAAGGAATTCCTATAATTGGTAAATTGAAGATTAGAAAGAGAAAAGAAGATTATCATGTGAACTATACTTGAATTGATTTGATATTAAGTATGTCGGTGGGAAGTACGCATCGTTTAACCCACTTGACTATAGTCTCTTTCTGCACAGTTATATTTGTTATCATTCGCTAGTGATTAAACTAAATAAGCATAATGAACGACAAGTGTTGGGATCCATTTGTGGACCAGTGCTATGCGTATATTTTTATCATATAATTATTAAATAACTGAACTATTCACACTCATGTTCCTCTTATCATAAGCTTTATTTTGACCTATAAACTATTATTATACAGTTTACCATTCTTGAATTATGACCTTATATTGAAGAAAACACGAGTGGAGACAACCGAATGTATTTGATTCAAACTTACAGGGTTTGCTAATAAAATTCAACATTCGAATAGTAATTGCTTAATGTCCATCAATTGTCTCAGACTTTATTGTTCTTGCATTTTCATACAAATTTCATTCTGTTTCCATTCTTTACTGTTCGATCCTCTTGTCTCTCTGCTACCAGACATTCTGTTCATGACTAACATCCTATACTACTTATGTCGATATAAGTAGCACACACCACAACTTGTTTATCAAATACTATCTCCCTGATTCACAGCCACATTTGGCTAAATCTTGTACGAACGTTGTTTCCTATCTTATGATACAATGTGGTCTGTCTGGTTGGTATATAAACCCAGTATGTTTGAAATAAACGATTCATATTGCAGAGGCAGATATTTGTGTCCTGAACTTAACTGGCTGGTCTAGGCTAGGCGGGAAGCAGGACCGATAAGTACTCCAGACTGCTCGCACGAGTTTTATGGGTCACTGCTAGCTAATTGGCGGCATTATTACGTTATACATTAACAGGACATTCGGGTCACAAGTTATAACAAGAAACAATATATATTACAATCATTATTATGTTTGATTTTGTCTAACTGTGCTTATTTTTATGTCAGATATTTTGTATACAAGGATGAAGCAGAATATACTCGTAATATTGCTCTATAAAGTCGCCCATATTGTATCTATTGTGAAAATTAAAACAATTTTTAGCATAATTCAAATCATTATTAGTCGAACATTTTATAAATTGCAACCTCGAGGACTTCTGATTTGGGGATCTAGAACAATTCTGATTATGCTGAAAGTGTAGTCGTCAACTTTGTTGAAAGTAATTCGTGAATATCCAGTAAATATAAATAGGTGATAATAGAAAGTGGGATTTTCTTGTGATGATATTATTATTGATTATGGTATGAAACCGTTGTTGCTGATTAGGTGATGTCCCATTAAACGAATCGCGATCATATTTTTTTGTAAATGTAAATTACAATCAGACAATTAAACAACATCACCTATTTACTCACACCTTTTTACCTTACTTAGGGCATAGCCTGCCAATAAGGAATTTTCAGGCAACTTTGACCAGAGCCTGTCTTTTCAGTTGTAGTAAGAATGCAAAGATATGCATAGATATATGAACACTTGTTTTCTTTATTTTGAACAATATATACATATGTTGTAAACCGGTCACCGAGTGCCAATTAACATTATTCCCAATTTCTTAGTAGTAAGAAAAGGTATTGTGTCTGCAAAATGACAATGATTTTAGTTTATGCCTGCCGACATTCCTTAAACCAATAGCCACTGATTTAATAAGAGGATGGTCTTTTTTAGAAGCATCTACCAATCTTTCAATCTTCTATATTGGACAACATTAGGAATAGCCGTTTATATTACATGTTCTATCAGCCTAAACTGATGGTTAATGGTTACCTTTATTTAGTATCCTACTTCCATTCCCTATAATGTTAACTAGAGTGTTCCATCATATGGGGTAAATGCTTCAAAGATAACAATCCCAACTGTTGGTGATATTATTCTATACTATGTTTTATAACCTTGAAATGTGTATATATCATTGAAGCACAAGATTTTCAGATGATCATACGTACCAAGCATTGGCGTTTATAACCGGACTACCTGTGAACGATGTATAAACATGATGATATTCTATACTCGATCAACTACCATGGAAACTATTTATTAAACAGAATTCTTGATCGATAGATTTATAAAGCCGACAAGAAGCATAAAACGAGGGTGCAATTATTGTACATAAGCATATTAATTGTCTTCGGAACCATAAAGAACAAATTATTTAACGAAACTACTCATATATCAATACGGGAAAACACTAGATTATATTGGAATAAAAATGTAAGATACATATTTTACAAATTAACATTGGAAATAAAACATATTGACAGTAACTTGTGGTGGTCGGTATTCAATATAATTCTTAAACTTCGTATATAGTTCATCCTGATATCCGCCACTAGATAATGCCTCAGTGGTGTATTAATTAGAAGGCAAATACGAAGTGTTGACTACCTTTATTATTGCACCACGCACAGCTAACGAAAATTACAGGTACGTTAAACAAACATGAAAGAGTAGTGCTGAAAAGCTATCAGGCAAGCGAATAAGCATGAGAGTAGGTGAGACTATAAATTATGGACGAAACAATCAGGAATAAGACAACAGGTTTCAGATTTGGGCGCGAAATTCACTCATCCATTTGGATAAATAGAGTTTTGGCATTATAACTGATGTCAGTTCATGATCAAACCCAGAAATATAATTCCTAAGCTTAATCATCAACTGTAAATAAGAATCCTAATTCCTCACACAGGTTCATAACACTCATTTGGTCCTGGTTATTAAGTGAACACTCCCAAAGTCAGTCTAGCGTCGCTCAATGGTCGTCCACAAATTAAAGTTTCACTAGCGAGTTGAATGAGCAAGTCGTTGAGTCAATGAACAGGATTAAAATGTACATATATATACCTAGGGAAATGAATGGATAATCGAATCAATTAAACGACTAATAATAATGCTAGCCGAATGAATATATGCGTAGGCAGTAAGCAATACTCAAGTGTACATATTCATACAAGTATAACAATAAAGGTACAATGATATAAGTTGTTATTATACGAATGACTACTCTATTCGTTAAATAAGTTAACAAAAAGGGCTTAGCCAAATGAAATGTGAACAAACTCAATTGCGCATGAGCTGCCATAAACTGTATGGAAAGTAAACAACTTCATGGAATGTAACAATATTAACAATGGTTAAGCGTTCGCGCGCGAGATCGATAGGTCATGGGTTGAGATCTCGCGAGGCGGGATCGTAGATGCGTACTACTGAGGAGTGCCATAATAAGACGAAACGGCCATCCATCGCTTCCAGGTTTTCATAGTGGTAGTCTAGCTTCAATTGACTCATGATCTCAACTACTGACATTACTATAATATCCACAAAATTCTTTCTAATATTAACAACAATGAAAATAAAGTGTATAATACAATCAATTACTTACAATCAATAAAAACCCAAGAATCCGATAAATGTACTCGAATTTTTAGATTAGTTTCTATGGATTCAGAGGTTTCATTGTATAAATTCTCTTGAGCATTGTCTTTATTTAATTGAGTAATAATTTTTCTTACAGTTGATAAGTCTGTATCATATTTTGCTGTAATAATACCGATCCATACAGCTTTGAAGAAGAAGAAAAAGAAAGACAACAGATTTGAAAGAGATTTTGTATAAAAAGAATGCGAATAATTATTTTTTGTAACGATAAAACTATTCATTAATTTTAAAGTTGGACACATCAATTACAAGTTTGGTATGTCTGTGTATGTACAATCGTCAATATGTATTTTTATTCTGTCAGTCAGCTACAAAGTAGGATCAAACACAGATATATACATCGGTCAAAGTTGCCATACTTTATTAACGCAACAAGATCAATATTGAATTCATAGAAGTAGTTAATTTGGTGGTGGTAATATATAAAAGAATGATTGTGTATAAGGATATAGTGCAGGAAGAAAGAATTAGTTTATAAAAAGAAAGATATGAATCGATTTTAATCTCATAGTTTAAGGGAAGATAGAAAGTGTATTCACCTACACCATTGTGATCGATTCTGAACCATGTCACTCAGAGTTTCCAACTATTGCTTACGATAGTCACCTGGACCCCAACCAAGTAATCCGCATCTACCAAAATGGCTCAGACTAGAAGTTGGTGACTTCAAGGACTGGTTCCACGTTTTTATTTGACCGTCCCTAACTTTCTTTCAATCATCCTCAACACTAGTCAGCATTGCGCGTCGTAGTAATCAGTGTTCAGGCATACGTAACACGTGTATTTTTATAAGTAAGAAAGTACCTTACAATCTGTTTCAAAGTCGAATGTTGTAGGAAATCAATATTCGAACTTCATCAAAAGTAATAGTAAGTATAGGGTTATGGAGATTGTTGAGTTTTACTGGAACCATGGTGGTTGGTACGCATTGCTGCGTAGTCTCATACTAGAACGAAATGGCCATACAATGCTTCTAGATTTTCATTAGTAATCCAATATTGGTTGGTTCATGATCTTAATAAAACTCAGCTATCTCTGCAATCCGATACTGTTAGTTATTATGTGTTCACTAGTGAATAGCTTCCACGGATAATTCTCGTAGTTCCAGTGAGAAGTTGTAACCAGTGGAGTTCAGCTGCATAAACTTTGAGTCAGTTATCCACCGAATACAAGGGAATATGGTAGCATAGAGTTTTGAATTGATTAAGATTAAACATTAACACTGTTGGGTGTCGGCTCAGTGGCCTAAAGGTTAGGCGCTCGCGCAAAACTGTAGGTCTTAGGTTTGATTGCCGTTTACAGGATTGCGATTAGACACTTCCGAGGAGTTCCATATCAAGTCGAGGCGTCTGTTCACTCCTTCCAGGTTTTAAATGGTGTTCTAACTTTGACCAGTTTATGATTTCAATGAAAAGTAATGCTATTGGTAAATCTGACGAAAAGTATATGTTAATAAGATTTTTAAGCGACAGGTCTAATTGTCTTCTCCAAGTTAGATATTTAATATAGTTTCACAGAATAAATTTTCGAATATACACAATCAATCGTCTAGAATATGTTTTATTGAAATCTTTACAAACAAGTGCAGTTTATATCAGCGACTAAACACACATATGGCTGATTTCTTGAACTGATATTAACTGTTTAAAATGTACTTAGTATATTTCTAACTATAAATTATAATAATAATGACTTAAATCAGGTTATTCAATGATAAATAATCTTGAATATATTGAAATAATCAAAGGTTATTCATTGAAATTACTTTCACTGAATTGAACTTCAAACTTTATTTCTATCACTTTGACCAGTTGTTTTAATAAACTTCAAAACATGTTTCCCAAAAATACCCGTCATTTAACACAATCTCTCTGAGTAACATAATCACTTTCATTGTTTGTATGATACATCATTGATTACCTCTCTTTTAATACTGTTTGAAAAAGGTTTAAATCAGTTATTGTATGTCACTTCTCTAGTAAAATAATGAAGACATTATATGTTTGATCATAGTTATTGGCTTGTACCTTTACTAAACTTAATGTTGTATCAATCATTCACCATTAAGAAACATCCTTGGTTAAGTTGAATATTATCGGACAAAGTCTATCTAAATCAATAGTTCACAAAATAATCTTGCACACATATATGTCAATAAATCTATTACAGTAATTTTTTAATGTTACTGTTCTGTACTCTCTGTTATTTATTCTCTTCTCTTTAATTGAAAAATAATCGTACTTGTCCTGTAACAGCACTAGAATCTCTCTTTAGAATATTATTCAGCGTTTAAGTGGATGTTTCGGTCGTTCTATAAAAAAGTTATACTGGTTCCTTCTTCTATCTCACATTATCACAATATCTGTAATAAGTATCCTTTCAAAACAAATTATGAACCAAGTTTTTTTAATTAATTTGTTATAACTTATGTTTTATGTCCTATTAACATATGACGTAGTAATACCGCCAATTAGAGAACAGTGGATTATCTACCGGATCAATAACGTATAAAACCTCTACGAGCAGTCTAGAGTACTTATCGGTCCTGATCCCTGCCTAGTCCTGCCTGTTAAGTTCAGAACACCAATCTCAGTCTCCGCGATATCAATCATGTATTTCAAACATACTGGGTTTATATACAAACCAAACAGACCACATCGGTACCATAAAATAGAAAACAACATTCGTATAAGATCTAGCCAAAAGTGACTATGAATGTGGGAGACTGTAATTAATAGACTGGACAGAACTCAAAAATGGTAAATCGTATAATAACAGTTCATGGGTCAAAATGAAGCTTATGATGAAAAGGAACACGAATATGAATAGTTTAACTACTTAACAATCATACAATAAAAATATATGCATAGCGTTAGTCCAAAAATAGATCCCAACAGTTACCATTCATTATTCTCATCGGGATATAACATAAGTTACAGTCATAACCTTATGCTTTACATATTAAGTTTCTTACTGTATCAATCGAATACAATCATCATAAACTGGTATGTCTTTTGTAATTATTTTAAATATAGAATTTATTCAGTATATTGTGAAGTTAATCATTATTAATTTCGCTGGTTGAAATAATGAGTCAATTAAAGCTAGACTACCATGGAAAATATGGAAACACCGGACAAACGTTTCGTCCTAGTATGCGACTCTTCAGCAGTGCTCACCCACGATCCTGCCTCCTGCGAGATCCGAACCCGCAACCTATCAGTCTCGCGCGCGGGCGCCTAACCATTAGACCACTGGGCCGGCTGGCATCCAACAGATGTTTAACTTCAACCAACCCACGAAGTTTCGCCACCGTACACCATTGTCTTCAGTGAGTTCCTATCTCACAACAGACCTGGTTGAACTCCACTGGTAACGGCTTCTCACTAGAACTCCAGGAGTATCTCCTGAAGTCAGTCACTAGTGAGCAGGTGATTTCAACCAGTGAGATTTCTAAAGTCTCCACTAAACCTATTCTGATATTAATCATTATTAATTAGTGAACTATTATACTTACCAGTTTGACGTAAACTGATTACATCATCGGACATTTCATTATAATCTTTTAAAGCAATCACAAATACATTTATTCTTGTTTCATAACCACCAATTGTTTTCCATTGTAAATGATTTCCATCTCTACAAAAATAAAAACAAACAAACAAACGAAAATCTATAATCATTTACTTGATTCATAGATTATTCAATCATAAGCAAACTATAGTTAATATTTATAACAGTAGTATAAGAAATGCAAATAAGTGTTAAACAACTACGTTAATATTTCTACAATTGTGAAATGTTTAGACTACATTTTAAATAGAATGAATTTGATTGGACGAAACGGCCGTCCAGTACTTCCAGCTTTTCAATGATGGTCTAACATCAATCGGTTCATGATCTCAATCAAAAACTTAACAATCTCCACAATTCCTAAACTGATAAAGTTTAATAGTTAAGAATAAAAATGTCATTGAAATTGGTTAAATGTAAATATTCCCAAATAAAGATTATTGTTTATTGGTTAATGATTCATTTATTAGTTTAACAAACAAATTCATATGGTAAGTGACAAGTGTTGTTGTTGTTGTTTACAAATGATTACAAAGTATTGATTAAATAGGTTGAATGTTTACTATACTTAGTTATTATTCATTCAGTTACAAATTATGGTATTGTTTTTAAGTGTAAATGACTATTTGCAAATGCACAAAAACCTCTCTCTGATTATAATCATCATATGCTCACTAGTGACTGTCTCTAATAGTTATTTCTTGGAGTTCTAGTGAGAATCAATGACCAGTGAAATTCAACCAGGTCTGTTGTGAGATAGTAAGTACCTCATTGAAGACAATGATGGATGTGTCACTCAATTTTTTGGATTAGTTAAAGTTAGATATTAACATCGTTGGATGTCAGCCGGCTCAATGGTCTAGAGGTCAAGCGTTCGCGCGCATTACTTATAGGTCCTGGGTTGGAATCTCGAGAGGTGGAGTTGTGGACGAGCACTGCTTAGGATGAGACGGCCGTTCAATGCTTCCAGGTTTTTCATGATGATCTAGCTTCAAGTGACTCATATATTCAATGATTAAATCACTACAATCTTCACAAAATCCCTCTGTGATTATGGTGATATTTATTTCAATTATATAATATATTCTACCCATATAATGTAACTGACTATTCAATATACAAAATTGATATGATCTATTTTCTAAATAAAAATAGATAAATACAAAATAAGATTATAAATCTTATAAACAAACAATGAAAAAGGAAAAAAACAAAACAAGAAAAAAGAAGAAAAATGTACAACAAATTGAAGTACAAACCTAAAAGATTAAAATGTAAAATACAAAAAAAAAGAAAAGAGAAGAAAAGAAAACATAATCAACTATCAATTAGTGTTTATCTAAACCATTTTATCATTATTATCAGTAATACACAAATGTACAGATTTGAAATAATGTAAACCAATTCAATCAATTAACTCAGTTATTTAGAGAAAATAACAAACGATGTAATAACAATGACAATAACAAAAACAACACAAACAAACATACCAACTTTATCTTTCATATTGATTGTGTTCTAATTTATATAATAATTAAATATTAAAAAATTTAATTACAGAAGATTACAATGATTAAATATGTTAATGATTGTACAGAAATTGTTTAAGAAAATCAAAATACTTGGTCATTTGTATAACAAGAGGGACATAGGAATCAGAACATTCGATTATCTATCTATCTACCTATATATATATTTATATATGCGAAATTAACTAGCTAAAGATTTCTCCTCTTCCGGTTTGATAATAATGTGGTCAGCTCAACAGTAACGTCAGTCAGTCAGTCAGCTACAATGTAGGACCAGGCACATATGTGCATCGGTCCAGGTTGCCATACCGCATCAACACAACAAGATGAACACCAGATTCATAACAGTGGTTAGGTAAAAGGTGGTAATATATAAGAGAAAGATTGCATATAGAGATATAGTACAAGAAGAAAGAATTGGTTCGTAGAAAGAAAGATATGAAGCGATTTTAACGTAACGTACAAAGATTTGAAACATAAAGACACTTAATGCAGATTGAGGGACAAAGTGAGGTCGAGAGATAGAAAGAGAGAGAGGGGGGACATAAATACTTGTTAACCCTCATGATACTTTTTTTTATACAAAAAAGAAACAATCGAAAACAGATTGTCATATTTTATGATCGATATAGATGGTAACAATAAATTTTAATTAAATGAATAATTATTTTAATTACATAATCATAATAATCATTAAGAAATTAAAACAAAACAAAACAATAATAGTGAAGTGAATATCCAATGATTGAAAGATAATATCAACAACAAAAAGAAGAAATAATAATGATGAATCAGCTGTGACAAATCAATTATGATATGATCCATAATCTAACATTTATGGTGATGTTAAGCAAAACAATTACAATGATTGCAAAATCTTAAATTATTAATAATTATTATTACATGTTATATATATATGTATAAGCACCGGTTCAATCATTTTTAAAAACACCCCCCCGCACGAAAAAACACAAAAATACACCAGAGTAAATCAAGTTAAAGTTCCCCATATCATATAATCATATTTCATAATCATTAAAGTGATTATTAGAAAACCCCACGCACGTACACACACACGCGCACACACGCACACACAGAGTAAAGCAAACAATGTAATTATCGTGAACAAATAAACATATTTATACATAAACACGCCCACGCAGAAACGTTTTACAGGTAGGGAAAACAAACAAACAAATAAATAAATAAAGGCAAATCATTGAGTAATTTATATCATGGTAGAAGAGTTGATCAATATTAGGAAAAAGTAAACACAAGCAGTTAAAAACAATGAAGCAAATTAACGTTTAATCAAGTTATTATTATTATTATTAATGCCAATTTTTTTTGGGGGGGGGTAATTAAATATGAACAGAATTGAAGAGATAAAAGAAAAAGAGAACAATATGAGTTTACTGTTGTTGTCATTATTATTATTATTATTATTATTATTATTATTATTATTATTCATATTACCAAAGAGATAGAAAACAATTTTATTGATTTTAAATTTATTATAATCAGAAATAATTATTCATGTTGAATCAATTATTTATATTATCAGAATGTGTTTTGTGGAGATTTTAGAAATTTCACAGATTGAAATCATGAGTCAGTTGAAGCTAGACCACCATGGAAAACCTGGAAGCACTGGACGGCCGTTTCATCACATTGTGAGACTCCTCAGCAGTGCGCATCCACGACCCCGCACCACCCGGGGCTCGAACCCAGGACCTACTGGCTTCGCGCGCGAGCACTTAACCATAAGACCACTGAGCCGGCATCCAACGGTGTTAATGTCTAACTTCAACCAATCCACGAAGTTGCGCTACCGTTTTCAATGGTGGTCTAGCTTCAACTGACTCATGATTTCAATCTGTGAAATTATTTATATATTTTTTTGCCATGTAGGATAAACTAGGATCAAAGTATCCAACCTTTATTCTATTTTTAATTAATAATATGAGAAATGTATAAAAATAGAGAATATGTAATATTCACTTTTTCTTTATTTGAAATAATTTTAGAGAATATTTTATAGAATAAACAATTTTCAATGATAAGATTATTGTGAATATGAATATTAAGATCCAAATATTTGGAGCTGATTTATTTATTTATTTGAACATATAAATATTGGTACAAGGAGGCGCCAGATACATATGTACCACACAAATCAAATGTGAGCACTATCATACTGTCCATGTGCCCAAACTGAAGCAGGTGGTTTTCTTAGGGGGCCACACCCGGAGCCTTCGACATAAAGGTGTGATCCACAATGCAGTTGAACATCGTAACTGGTTTCCAACGATTGATTTATACGCCATTTGTTGCTTGAGGATATTGGATCCCATGTGCGCGATTGGTTTGGAATGAGGGTTTTCGAACTCCCTAAGATGGATCATCCCTATCCACCAACGCGATTAAAGCACCAGATATTCGCTTTTTCTCTTCTCGATTTCGTAGACAACACCCCCGCCAGGAGAAGGCAATGAGTAGGACTTCCCTGGCAGAGGGCATATACACGTGGTCATGTGAGAGGGAGAGCTGTGACTCTCCCCACTCTCGGCCGTACCAGGGCATTTGGGGGCTCCAGCTGACTAATTTCGAATAAGGGACAGTGACACATGCTGGATTTCATTATCAATTATAATCCAGTAGGTTGAAAAGTGGAGACAAACATTAGAAGAATGAACAATGATAGGATAGAACTAGAAAGGAAGGCCTAAGGCAGCGTGTGTTGGAGAATGCTAGTTGGCGGCCTACACTCCATCGGGAGTGACAGGCGTGAGTAAATAAGCAAGTAAGTGTAATCCATCTATACTATAATAACTAGTGACAAAATGATCACACTCAATCAATCTCTACAAAACGCTCAGGTAGTAATAAAAAAATGATCAATATTCACTTGTCATTATTGACATCAAAATCATTCAAACCTTTAATAATAGGGATATAAAATTATATCTTACAGTTATGTTTCTCTTTAATGACTATCAATTGAACAACATCTATTGGTATATCATTTGTTAATTATGTCCTCTATAGATACTGTTGGTCACTGAGCTCAATGATTATTAATTCAAAGAAATTATTTTATTAGTTGATATCATGTGTCAATTGAAGCTAGACAACCATGGAAAACCTGGAGGCACTGGACGGCCGTTTCGTCCTACTATCAGACTCTTCAGCAGTACGCATCCACGATCCCGCTCGTGGGATTCGAAAATTTCATTAGAAAAGAATGAGTTGTCTACTTTGATTGATATCTACAAAATGACCTTGGTACTGATAAGTTTTTAAAAAAAGCTATCCTGGTTCATGAAACTTTCACAATTCTTAAACGATCGATAAATCAACTACATGAATTGTATTTGTTTTTCATAGAAGAAAAATTTCAAGTCGGTTTGTTAAGTATAATAACCATCGTAAAAATGCATTATAAGCAAAGAAGTATGGTGACTAGCGGTGGAATCAAAGAGGCGCGTTTCATCCTATTTGGGACTCGTCAGCTGGATGTACATGCATCTAAGAGTTGATGTTCAATTCGGTACTCAAACCAACTACTGAGTCCAGATAGCCACTATTTTGTGCAGTGAGGTGAAGTTTTAATTCATTTCTGTATTGGTTGTTTGAATCTTCCCATTGTTGTGTAGAAATTTAATTAGTCAATCTCTTATTAGCATATTGCCTCGACAATTCCTTGAGTCATAAACATTATAAAAAGAATGGTACTTGGTTCGAATCCCGAAGTGAACAGGATGCAGGTACATCCAGCCGACAAGTCCCAAATTGGATGAAACGCGTGTCCTGGATTTCAATGCTAGCCAACACCAATCTCTGCTTATAACGCTTGTGACTTAAGGCAATATCGAGACAGTCCGAACAATACACAAGTATACTGATAAGAGACTGATCAATTTTCGTCCTCAACATCAATGAGAAAATTCAAACAACCTATAAAAAAATAAATGATTTGACAATGTTTTTGTTTTGTTTATTGTTAAATGCTAGGCAACTGTAAAATGTAGCTACTCGCTAATTAACTGGATTATTCCATCAAAATTTACAGATATTTTGTTAGCTCATGAAGCTCATTTATGAAAAAATCCCGCCTAGCGAGATTCGAACCCGGGAATTATCAGTCCCACGCTCAAATGCCTATCCTCTAGACCACTTGTTCGGCCGGCATCGAACGGTCTTAATGTCTAACTTCAACCAATTCACGAAATCGCACGATCATCTTCTATTGTACTAAAGTAGATACCTGTCTCTATCCGACGCGGATTAGCCCCACTGATCACGGCTTCTAACTAGAACTCCGAGAATTTCCTCACGAAGTTAATGATTAGTGATCACGTGGTAATTATCAGTATGAAGTTCGAATCCCGCAAGCGTGATCGTGGATGTGCACTGCTGAGGAGTCCCACAATAGAACGAAAAGGTCGTCCAGTGCTTCCATGTTTTCAATGGTGGTCTAACATCAATTAGTTCATGATCTCAATAAGTTATTTCATAATTTCTTTCTTTACAAGAAAGAGAGAGAGAATAATGGACTGTTCGATTTTTAATGAGACAACTAACCAACTACAAAAAACATATTCGTTTAGTTAAGATAATATGTTATGGTTAATGCATTTCCGTCATCTGTAATTTGTAGACGTAATAATAGGCGTTTCACCGTTTGCTTGACTAGTTTTCAGATAAATGTAATGAATGATAAATTGAGCAGAACATTACTGTAAGCTTAGTTGATAATATAGACTACTGCAATTTTTGGATTTGTCCATAATAAAATAAAACTATATTTGATTGTGAATTAGTTTGAAATCTTACAAATAATTATGAATTCTATCACCAAGCAGTAGTTATTAAACAATTACAGTATAGTCAGATGATAGTCTTACCTAACTTAAGTTTTGAGCTAGTTGTCACTCTTCAGCAAGATGTACCTTTAATCTTGAGTGCATGAATACTTCATGGAAGATTCAACTCTGTATTACCCAGCTTCATAATCACAGACATTAACTCTGAGCTGTTCAGGGCTTGAATTATCTCCTGTAAGACCGATATATTTACAACTTACTGATCACTGATTAGGGAACACTGTAATCTTTGTTCGAGTGTTTGTATAATCTTAAAATGAAGGTGATTGTTTTGTTACAAAATAGTAAATAAATTTAAAATTATAACTGTTGAACTCCTACTTGATGTATCAGTAGTGTTATGTTTGTTTAGAAATTCTGAAAGTTTTGTCTTCCACGAGTATAGGTGAAAATTTCTGATAAATTTCAAACTGGAATTAATTACCTAATTAATGATTACTTGTGCTAAGTAAATAACTATCCAGATAATATGAATTATTCTATCTAATATAATTTAAAGCTTATGTAATTTAGTGTATTAACGATTAGAGTGTGATATTGAGATTGTGAACCGATCGGCGTTTCGTCCTAGCATGAGATTCGTCAGCAGTGAACATCCACAATCTCCACAAGCCTGCATTGATGATCGTAGAGTGGTTTAGTGTCTTTATAATAATCGCAAATGTCTCTGTAATACACGCAATGAGTACTTATTTATAAAATAAATACATAACCTCTATGTTGTCAATATATCTGATCACAAAAATAAGTTACATGTAGTTAAATGTGATTTTTCTATTTTCCAGCAGCTGAGTAAATTGAATAGATCGAACAAAGCATACAACGAAATGGGATAAATAAGAGTTTCACTGACATAATCAGTTATCTATGAAAGCTTGCACACATTATTCTACTTAGATTATGAAATTTCAACATTTGAGATCATAAGTCAATTGAAGCTAAACCACCATTGAAAAACTGGAAGCACTGAACAGCCGTTTGTTCCTATTGTGGGACTCTTCATCAGTGCGCATCCACAATCACACCTCACAAGATTCTAACCCATTTAGACACTTGTACCATTCGATGCCGGTCGGCTCAGTAGTCTAGAAATTAAGCGTTCACGTGCGAGACTGATAGGTACTGGGTTCAAATCTGGTGAAATGGAATCGTGTATGCGCACTGCCTAGGAGTCCCACAATAAGAACAAATGGTCGTCCAGTGATTCCAGGTTTTCCTTGGTGATCTAGTTTCAATTAACACATGACCTCAATTATTAAAATTACTAAAATCTCCACAAAACCCCTTCTGATTATGAAATTATTGATTGAAATAATTTATTTCTCAGTATATTTTGACACCGATAATAAACATTAATGTTCACAAACCTTGATTGTTCACAATAGATTATTTCTAACTAATTTTTCCAACCTTCGATATCCTGCTAATCCACTATAAAAATATAAATAATCATAATCATAATCATAAAACTCGACTGTATTGACCACATTGAGTGATCTAAAAAATAACACTACTCATTTGTAGCCTATTTTAGATAATAAGTAGAAAAATACTGATCAAAATCAAGAGAAATTATCAGTACAGATATGATGAAACTTTAATGTGGACGGTGACTTTACATGTCAAAAGTTTTTCTAAGTTTTCTATATGGTTTCTATTTAAACCTTGAAGCAAACTCTTGTTTGTTTGTTTTTCTGTAAACATTCACTTATCAGAGAAAAAGTTAGTTTATATTTAGGTACTTCCCTGTATACTAACCACTCTAATATTCATTGAATTATCTTTTTCTGGTTAGCGTTTTTTTCAGCGAGTTACAAGATACAAGATACATGTGTTTATTAACAGTTGTCTACTTAACATTCATTGGCTAGACACTATCAACAACAACCTACTATAGGAGAGAGAAAAAAACAGATTCCAGTGGAGGAAGAAATCAGGAAGAAGCTCTGAAAGTGGATAGAACACACATTGAGGAAAGCACTCAACTGAATCACAATGTAAGCCCTTACTTGGAATCCTCAATGCTAAAGGAGAAGAGGAAGACCAAAGAATACATTACGCCGAGAAATGGAAACATATGAGAAGAATGAACAAGGATAATATAGAATTAGAAAGGAAAGCCCGTGACAGAGTCGGTTGGAGACTGCTGATCGGCGGCTTATGCTCCATTAGGAGGAACAGCAGTAAGTCAGTAAGTAAGTAAGTAATTATTCATTGAATCCTACGTTTTACAGTATTTATATTTGAATTATTGATTATCGTCAAAATAAGGTTGGCAGATCACGATTTGATAGTGATGTAAATGAAATATTGACTATTTCATACCACTCATACTATACAAGTGTACATTACAGTCAATGTATCATTAGTATCATGAGTTAAATACGAGTTCACTTAAAAAAAAGAAATATATTTACATTAAATAATGATTCTAACAAGATCTTTCTGATTAAGATCCTGGATCAAATGATGCTAGACCACTATTGAAAACTTGAATGCACTGGATGGACGTTTCATCCTATTGTGGGACTCGTCAGCAGTGTACATCCACGTTACCGCTCGTGGGATTCGATCCCAAGGCCTTCAGTCTCGCGTGCGAACGCTTTACCTCTAATGAGATTTATCTGAATCAGGAGTAAAAACATTTACTTTATAATATTATAATGCAAATATTCTCTTTAGAATTCTATAAGTCTTTAAGATTAAATAAAGTTGAATCTCTTCAGTGATGGATACTAGTTACTAAAACAAATCGTAAGTTGACATCCTAATTAATATTGTTGTTCATTTCCACTGATTACCTGAATAATCTTTAATGAATATCTTTTGGAGACGTTAGATCCCCAGAACTCACTTGGAAAAGGACGTAATTTTCAAAATAAAATTACAAAATTAGATCCTTTTCGAAGTGAGTTCTGGAGATCTAACGTCCTCAACAATATCAAAATTATTTAAATTAGAAAAAAAATATTGCAAATAAACTTACTCGTTAAGTGTTACAGCTGAGATAGGTGAACGTGTTAATTTTTGTATGACTAATGCTTGATGTGAACAGAATACATCAATTTTTGATGGCATTAAACGACATGGTTCACCATCCATTTGCATAGGGATAACTATATCTGTTGTAAGATGTACACGACGACATTGACAAATTCGATCACCATGTCCACCTATTTGTAAAGTTGCCTAGTAACAATATATGCATTGAAAAAAGAAATGTAATTTTCAATGTGTAATTTAGGCAAAATATTATAAATGATTAGATGTTTGAAAATGAATTCTAAAGAGTTTCTCAACTTCATGTATATTAGGTTATGTGTTTTTTTTAGTTAGATAATCTAGTCTTTATCATGAAGTAATTTTAACTAAATAACCACATAAAACAAAATATTACATTTTGGTACCTAGAAATCACAATCTCATCATATGTAGTTGATAACCAACAGACTTCTAAGCATTGAGTATACATGACCCTAACCAGGGATCAAACATGGGATTTTTAGATCTTGCGGTGAACGTTTAATATCTAGATCACTGAACTAGGAGTAAATGGTTTACATGTTCAATTCCAACAAATCGATAATACAGCTCGACCGTCTTCAAATGTACTTGGTGGGTAGTTACTTCACACTGGATGCTTTTAACCTGTATTGGTCATAGTTTCTTACTATGACTCTAGAACAATCTCAAAATTAGTTACCAGTGAGCATATCATGATTATTAGTACGTGAATTTTAAGGTGATTGTAAAAAACGACCTAGTGCTTCCTGTATTATCATGGTTATCCAAGTAAATAAGTTATTATACTACTGTTCAAGAGAAATATCTGAAACTAAGAATTGTGCTCATGGAAACTTGTCAATAACGTATATAGGCTTATAGAAACTCACTCAATGTTTCAATTATTAACATGACCACTGATCTATTGAACCCACAATTGACCATAATTCATGTATTTACATTGTGTAGCAATTATAATAGTATTTATTATCTGTTCATTTAAACTAATGGTCACGTTTGAAATGACTAACCGAAACCAAATAAGATTAAAGGCTAAACAAATACCAGATTTTGGACTAATTATTGATTACTCAATTCAACGAATCAAAGTAAATTGACAATGTTGTTTAAGATGATCTTAAATAAATTTATCATGATATCACTTGTTTTAACATTGTTTTCAAGGGTATACATTATGTCAAATTTTTATTATTTTAAAATAATCCATCGTGTCATTGAATAAGAAAAAGAGAATTCAGCGAAGAAAATTTTCTTTTCGACGAAATCATTTACTTAGGCTGTACATTCGTATATATAGTTAGTTATATGGAAAAGTTATGTCTATAGAGGTCGTTTTTCTTCATATCTGTCAATTGGACTATTATCCGACCCATAAATTCTGTTTTGCCTTACCCCATGATTAGTACGTCAACCTCATATGTTATTTATTCTCGAATCCATTTTTTGTGATACAATCCTTTCTATCCCTCTATAGACATATATTTTCCATATAACTAACTATATATACGAATGTACAGCTTATGTAAATGATTTCGTCGAAAAGAAAATTTTCTTCGCTGATTTCTCTTTTTCTTTTTTATTATTTTGTTTGATTTTCGCTCTTAGCAACCTGTGTTGATACATTTTATTAGACATTCCATAATTAATTTAATGTCAAAGAGGTTTCAAAGTATTCCCATTGCAAAATTCTAATTTAAGTTTTTAATTGAGATCATGAACCGATTGATGTTAGACCACTATTGAAAACCGGGAAGCATTAGACGGCTGTTTCGTCCTATTGTGGAATTGCTCAGCAGTGCGCATCCACGACCCCGATCGCGAAATTAGAGCCTAAAGCTTTCACTCTCGCGCACGAACGCTCAACTTACTAAACCACTGAGCCGGCAACCAATGGTGTTAATGTATATTTTCAAACAATCCACGAAATAGCACGACCATCTTCCATTTTACTGAGGTAGATAATTGTCTCTACCCCACGTGAATTAGCTTCACTGGTCACGGATTCTTACTAGATCTCCAAGAATTCCATCACGAAGTTAGTCACTAGTGAGCAAATGGTAATTCATCAGTATCGAGTTGAGGAGAATATTAAGTTTTTGGTTCGGATCATGAACCGGTTGACGTTAGCGTAACGACAGAAAAATAGACGTATTTCTAATATTCTGATATTTTTCAACGGTAAAACAACAGGCAGGATATAAAAGTGCTTCAACTTACTAATGACGTCGATGTAAGACCTATGACTTCAATATAACCATCATCAATTCTTTGAGGTTGGAATTCTGCTGTTGGCTGACCCCATGGTAAGGTGCCAGATCCATATCTATCGAAAATAAGATAAAAACATGCAAGTAAAAATCTGCGTTTTTATGATTATAAAAATGTGTCAGTGGCCAGATAGTGAAGAATACAAACGGAATGAGATGAAGAACCTCAAATAAACACCAAATTTTAAAAAGTTATTAAGATAGTTTATTAGGTCATATCCCGTAAATAAAGAGATATAGGTGTTAAAAATTCCTTCAGAACACGTGAACTGGTGTCAAAGACTCGGATCTACATGCTGTCTGCTATATGTGGGAGACGTAATCGAAACCCATTAGAGAAAACTCAGGCATACAACAGATCACTCGAGACGATCATATCATTACTTACTTACTTATGCCTCTTACCCACAATGGAGCATAGACCGCTGACCAACATTCTCCAACCCACTTTGTACTAGGCCTTCCTTTCTATTTCTATGCAATTTTGTTCATTCTTCTCATGTCTGTCTCCATTTCTCAATGTAATGTGTTCTTTGGTCTTAATCTTCTCCTTTGGTCTTGAGGATTCCAAGTGAGGAATTGCCTTGTAACGCGCTTGTGTGCTTTTCTCAATGTTTATCATATCCACTTGCAGCGCTTCTTCCTGGACATGGGGTTAGTGACCCCTTATGGTAGAAAACTAACTCGCTAGAAAAACGACGATCATATCATAGAAGAAACCAAATCTTTTCAAGTTATCTATTGTATGCCAAAATCATTTCTCAATGGGGTTTTCATCCCGTCTCTTACTTTTATATCACTTGTTTATGTGTTCAAACAAAACTTCTTGGACAGACATAACTCAATAAACCATTTTATTGATTTTCGTATTAGATAAGTTTTATTACTTCATAAGATGGAACTGACAATGATTATTATTCATCAAATAAGAAATGAACTTGTTATCAGTTATTTATAAACTTTTTAACATCATAGTGAAATTAAATGATCACAAATTGGATTATTTTGAAACAAAGTCTTATTACATAATTCAAAGGATCAATAAAGTTGATTGATCACTTAATACTTTAACTGATAATATATAAATATTCCTTTGATCTTCAATTTCCACAAAGAGTACCATATTACTGATTTATAACAAAGGCCAATTTTTACTGTTATTTTCAAAAACAAGGGTAGGTTAAAAACATTCCTTGTCAGTTTCTTTTGTACTATTGATAACTAGTAATAATAATAATAATAATAATAATAATAATAATAATAATAATAATAATAATAATGATAATGATAATAATAATAATAGTGTGAGGACGGTTCACGGGTGAACTCGAGGAAGCTGTAAGAAAGAGACGAAGATATTGCATCCAATCACCTTTTGAAAGAATATTCTAGAATCCCTACGTGTAGCTGCCCGATTGGACAATGATAATAACCTCCTGTATGCGGATTGGAGGACTGTAATGATGATTTCGTTTCTTACAAAAACCTATTAATACTTGACAAGTTTGTACTATAATTGACACTGTCTGGAATAACAATCCTTTCACTAATCTTCTGTCTTCTCATTGCGACTTGGAAGGGTTTCAGCGTTCTAGGGCCTAAGTTATACGCGGTATATCAAGAATATATACATCGAGATATAACAAATAATAATAATCAGTAACTTTTCACCATGGTAATGATTCACTTACCTTGGAATATTTAGAAACAATATACAATGTGGTTTCAAACTACGGATAAGTGGAGTTAAATCTTCATCATCACACTATAACAATAAAAAAGAATAAATAAAGTTCACTAAAATTATTTTCATTTTAACACAAGCCTAACATCTATAGGTAAACTTTCAATATAGATAAATATGATAATGTAGATACTAACAACTGGAAGATGATCAAAACGAATCATAATTCAAATAAATCAATTTGTATAGCCCAGTTCTATTTGCAATGCCGTTTCGTCCTATTGTGAGACTCCTCAGCAGTCCGCATCAACGATCCCGCCTCGCGAGATTCGAACTCAGGATCTATCAGTCTTGCGCGCGAACACTTGACCTATAGACCACTAAGCCGACTGGCATCCAATGGTGTTAATGTCTAACTTCAACCAGTCCACGAAATTGAGCGACACATCCTGAATTGTCTACAGTGAGGTACTTATTATCTCACAACAGACCTGAGTGAACCTCTGTGGTCGCTGCTTCTCACTAGAACTCTAGGAAACATTTCTTGAAGCCAGTCAACAATGAGCATATTTTGACTAATATCAGCAGTGTTTTTGTGAGTATTATAATAATTTCTCGCTCGCGCGCGAAACTGATAGATCCTGGATTCGAATTTTGGACGGTGAGATCGTAAGTGCTTACTACTGAGGAGTTATACAATAGGATGAAACAGCCATTCAGTGTTTCCAAATTTTCTCTGGTGGTCTAACTTCAATTGACTCCTGATCTCAACTATTAAAATGATTAACTCTTCTCAACTATTCTATTCCCTATTTTCTTTATTCATATATTTTACTGAAACTGTTTTTATATCTTTATTTCAGTTAAAATAATAATAATAATAATAATTTAAACATAATGAATGAATAAATATGAACAATTAAACTTAAACCATAATGATCAACACTTTACTTGCAATTAAAAAAGAAAACAAATAAAAGACATCACAAAACAGAGAAAAAACAATAAAATCGTCGGTTTTTCTTTTCGCTTTTTCTTTTTGTAATTTTTTTCTCTCATTCACTCAATTGATAATTAATGAGTAAAAAGTAAAAAAAAACGGAAAAAAAAGAGAAAAAAAGAATCTCATGATTTTTGATCATGGAATAAAGTAATTATTAACTTAAATTGAATTGTACAATGCTCAATGATTAATGGGGGAAAAAAAGGGAAAAACAAAAAAAAGAAAAAAATTATTTAAATTCTAGTAAATATAAATAAGCCAAATAAAAAAAAGAAGAAAAAAACATGAGAGAAAAATGATAAAATGACATAGTTCTATTGAGTAAAATTAACATTTACATATTTAGTTTTCTTTTCTAAATAACAGTTTGTTGCTTCTGTTTAATAATCTTCTGACAATTTCTTTTCTTTAGTTTGTTTGTATTTTCATTTTTTTTAAATATTAAAATATAGATTTTATACAAAATTGTTCATCGCACTGAAAACCAATTGCATTTTTTTCCTCGGAATTATAGACCAGACAGGAATGAGATAGAAATGATTGATTATTGATTGAGATCATGAACCAATTGATGTTAGACCACTGTTGAATACCTGAAAGCACAAGACGGCCATTTCGTCTTATTCTAGGACTCCTCAGAAGTGCGAATCCACAATGTCGCTAGCGAGATTCGAACCCATGACCTTCAGTTACGCGCATGAGCGCTCAAGTTAATAGGCAACTGAGCTGATTGACATTCAACGATGTTAATGTATAAGTTCAACCAATCCATGAAATCGCGCGTCCATCTCCCATTGTACTGAGGTAGATAACTGTCTCTACCTGACATGAATTAGCTCCACTGATCATGTCTTCTTACTAGAACTCCGAGAATTCCCTCACGAAGTTAGTCACCAGTGAGAATATGGTAATCATCAGTATAGGGGTTGTGGAGATTATTAAATTTTTAATTGAGATCATGAACCGATTGATGTTAGACCACCATTAAAAACCTGGAATCTTTGGATGGATCGATGTTGTTGTGAATGATAATACAAGTGGGGACAATCAATGTATATTAAAATTACAGAGTTCTTTCTTAAAATGTAAAAACCATATATATCCAATACTTTATTTACAAATCCTTCATCAATTGTCACAAACTTTATAGTTCTTTTACTGCTATTATAAATACACGTTGTTACTGTTCTTTTTATATTTGATCTCAAATTTCTGCTACCAGACACTCCACTTCTGAATAGTGATATATACTACTTAGTTCGATATAAGTAGCATACACCACAATAGTATATTGGTCAGTATTTTATTGTGTAATTTTATGTATTACATTTTTTGTTTACAAATTAATCAATAAGATTGATGAATTGATGTAGTGTACTGAATACTAATCAATGTCATTTATATTTGCTCATTAAAACGTTACTTATGATAAAAATTATTTAGTATGGTAGTTACTGATAATCTCTAAGAGAAATACCTAAGATACAGTAGATTAGTCTTTGACAGAGCACATTTATAACTGTACACATTGATCAATGTTTGGAACGAATTATGTTATTGATTTGCAGTAGCAAACGTTAATGGATAGTGGCTAGCAGTGGAATCCAGGACGCGTGCCACTTCGTCCTATTTGGGACTCGTCATCTGGATGTACCTGCACCTCAAAGTTGATGTTCCCTCTGAGACTCGAATTTAGTACCGTTAGCTATCCATATTTACATACAATGCTTGTGAATTAAGGCTATATCGGAGAAATACACACAGGATGCCTATATGCTAATAAGAGATTGATCAATTACAGTCCTAAATATCAATGGGAAGATTCCAACAAACAGTACCAAGTGAAGTTAATGGATTATATTCACTTTTATCAGTGGATAGCTTTATAAGAATACAGATAAGTAGGATTCATTAGTTCTTGATTAGACATTAATATTTGATGAAAGCTTTTGAACTGATCTATCAAATTTTTATGATCATCTATTTAAATGGCGATTTCCACAGTTTGACTATGTAGTAATCCCTATAATAATTACTTCTAAGTATTCAAAGAAAAATATGGATAAATAAAAATGAGTTATTGACCAATTAATGTTTTAATGAATTAACTTTATTTTATAATGATATTAAACAAAAATTTTGAATTGATGCTGAGGAGTCCCATAATAGAACGCAACAGTCGTCCAGTGCTTCCAGATTTTCCATAGTGGTGGTCTAGCTTCAATTGACTCATGATCTCAACTGTTGACATTATTATAATATATCCATAAAAACCCTTCTTATGTATATGAGTTAAAATGTATAAAATATGTCAAAGCTACCCTCAAAAATAAGATAAAAAGATGTAGAACTAAATTGACATCTACAAGTTGTAATGTAAAATTCATGTACAAATATACGATAGAGACATTGTGAGCAAAAAAAGTAGTAGAGTATGATATTTCATCGCTTTGAAAGTTTGTCAGGATGTTTTTTTTTGGTATTAAAATCTCTTTAAATCTCCTATGCCGATGATGATTATGTCACTATCAGTGATGAATTTTGAGATGACAAAGTGACAGACCGTGACTAAAAAAGGCCAACTGCGTCTAGTGTGAGGCTTTCACCCACCGAAGGCAATAGAAAATGGTTGTCTATTATCAGCAATTAATTAAAGTTTGATATTTAAACTATTTCACGATGGTTCGGTGATCTAAAGATTATGCATTTGCTCACGAGACCAAAGTTCCTGTGTCCAATCGCTTGGTGTGATCGCGGATGCGCATTGTCCTATGCTAAGATTAAACAGTTATCTAGTACTTTTTTGTTACTAATAGATGTCTAACTGAAGTCAGTTCATGATATCATTATTATATTTCATATGTAAACAACGATACCTCCAAAATAAACTTTAAAATAACTATTAGCAATGGAATCCATGTCGTACAGCTCATTTTATTTGGAATTCGTCAAACAGTTTTACGTATATGCTATAGTTAAACAAGCAACTACCCGTAATATATGAAGGTATACAATGAAGAAGCCTATATTATCAAAGAAGACTGATTCCGTTCCGTCTAGAATATAAAATTTAAATATACATAAATTCTTACGTGTACCTCTTAATCCGTTTAACTTCATTTAATAAGTCTCTTCTTATTAATACACCAGTAATTATACTCATTTACTAGTATTCCAATGAAGATTATGAAGAAACTACAATTTATGGCCGAACCAATCAGACACAACATAATACGTCTCGAATTTTTGGCGCAAAATTCACTCATCCATTTGATTAAATAAAGTTTCAGCATCATAGCTGATATCAGTTCATGATGAAAACCCTAAATCTAATTCCTTACCTTAATTATCAACTGTAAATCATAATTCTAATTCCTCACATTTGTTTATAACCCTCATTTAGTCCTAGTTACTAGGTGAAGACTCTAAGGATCACTTTAGCGTTGCTCAAATGGTCATCCATAATTAATAGTCTTACCAAAATTCTTCTTTAAAAGTAATAATAATAACTAATATTAATTATAAACTTACAATAAGTGTAATATGTTCCGATAGATCACGCCAACTTCGTCGAAGTAGATCTTTACCACCAAGCTAAAAAAAAAATCATGTAAACAAAAAATTAATATTTTAATATTTTTTTGATTGAAACCATGAATCGATTGATTTTAGACCACCATTGAAATCCTGGAAGCACTGGACGTCCGTTTCGTCCTATTGTGGCTCAGTGGTCCAGTAGGTTAAGTGTTCGCGCGTCAGACTGAAAGACTTGAATTTGAATCCCGTGAGAGGGATTATGGATGCGCACTGCCAAGGAAGAGTCCCATAATAGAACGAAACGGCCGTCCAGTGTTTTCAAGTTTTCAATGGTGGTCTACCATCAATCATTTCATGATCTCAATCAAAAACTTAATAATCTACACAACCTCTATACTGATAAATATTTAAGCAATCTCTTTTCCTCTTCATTTTAAATAAAAAGAAAAAAAACATTAATGAAGACTCTGGTAGGTTTAATTTACAATATGTTCATATTAGATATGATTTATTCAATTAACGAATTAATATTCGGAATGATGTAGGTATACAACAGATGTGTATAATTCTTATTTTCGAGTATATATCAAACAATTACTAAGTTATAATGGAATGAGTATAGTATTTCAATTTGAAGTTACACATTGATGTGTTTTAAAAGTTTTCTTGAATATTAATGAACTTACAAAATATAATCAGTTGTAGTTAGCTTCGACTGTTACTGTTATTGTTGAAGTGTTAGTTTGACTTGCTTATCGTGATGAATTAATCCAATCATACTGTGTGTGACTTTATAACCATCTAGTTATCACGTAGTCTAATCAAAATACGACTTATTCGCTTGTGTACTGTACTAAACTAATAATGTCCGACTGATCTGATCAGACTAGCCTCCTATTGGTCCTTTGCTCGCCTAACCCGTCCAGAATGCCAATAACAGCCTCCACTATGTGAATCCTTTTATCTCAGACATGCTAGGTTTACATGTCAATCAAAGAGACCACAACGCACCATAAAATAGAAAATAACACTCGTACAAAATATGGCCGAAGGTGGCTAAGAACGAAGGAGGCAGTAGTCAGTAAACTGAACATAGCTTAAGAACAGTAAAGCGTACAATAATAATCTATAGGTCAGAATTAAGCTTATAATAAGAGGGATATAGATATACATAATCCAGTTATACAATAAGAATATTTATAGAATATTAGTCCATTAAAAGGGTCTCCAAGGTTACTCGTGATTTAATCTTCACTAGAATATAACACATACTACCTGATATAATTGTTTTTCAAGGTCATACGATGCCACGTAGATTAGTTGAAGAATGGTAAGACTGATAGGAAGCAAACCCAAGGTCCGAGGGAGAAGTTGTGCTACTGACCATACAAAAGTTTGATGGCATCAAGGTGCATTCTTCACACAACCAGCATAACAGCAATACTGCCTTCCAACAAAAGAAGGGTTGGGTTAGAAAAGGTTGACCCCAAAAATACAGACCTCACCTTATCCCATGGATTTCCGTCTCCTGTAGTAAGGTCCCAACAAGGACGAGATAACAAAAAAATCACCCACAAAAGGCTTCAAGTAGTTGTCCCTTTGGCACAGCGGTCATCCTCTCAGGTCACCAAGACTACCTCTAACCGAATTTCCTTTTCAGATAACCGGGAAGTGATAACCGCCCTCATACCTCTAAAAGCACTCAATACTGAGACAATTCATCTTAGCTTAATTACACATTGATGATTATATTGAAACTGCGAAAAATTTAGGGCTCTTTATTAAGTGATCGAAATTAGCCGACAGGTAATCCTTATCAGTTAGTACTCGTCAATAATGTCTGCCACTAATCTTTATGATAACTGATAAAATCTAAAGTATATGAACTAGGATCGCACCTTTTCACAATTTAAAATATCAACCAACTGTTTGAACAGTACAAAGTTTCTGTGATCTATGACCAATGCTGTTAGAAACTGAGTTATTTATTTAGAATAACAGCTGTTATTTCTTCCAAAGCATCTACAGAACATTGGATGAATCGATTTTAGTTTGTATGTTATGTGTAATTTTTAGAATAAAGGATCTATTGAAATCCTTAACAATGACAACGCTTAAAATTTATAATAATGAGAAGAAGAAGAAGTAATAATAAACACAGTACTTTGGTTAGGAATAATAACAAATATATTTTTTATTATAACAGAGAAACTGTACTATTTAAACTTGCGTTAATTAATTCGGTTATTTATTAACTCTGAAGAAGTGACTTACATTAAGTCACAAAACATCAGAGATACAATTTTCTACTTATTTAGATGTGACAAAAATATATATTTATTATTAGCCTTCCACTCAAAGTCCAATTTATTTGAAACTGTTAGGTTCAACCTTGGCTTTGGTCAGGACTTTTTTATTTGATTATGTGAAACAGTTGAAATGCGTTTAACTTTCGGGTGAAGACACAATCAAAATGAAGAGGTAGACAATGAAAGGTTAAAGGTCAACAATAACCAATCATGATAGAGGTCGACAAGACAATGTATGAGTCATATGTAAAGAGACTGCAACACTTAATTTGTGTTGATGACGTTGTTCAGAAGAATAATGAAAGCTCCATGATTATACTATCCAGCTCAGAGAACAAAACTCTACCTAAATCAACCATCTGGCATACATATATCCGTGTTTAACCTTTGACAGTGAAACAAAGTTAAAATTAGTTAATTAATCTCACTGAAGACGATGGTGCACGGTGGCGCGACTTCGTGGATTGGTTGAAGTTAGACATTAACACCGTTGGATGCCGGCTCAGTGGTCTAATGGTTAAGTGCTCGCGCGCGAAGCCAGTAGGTTCTGGGTTCGAGCCCCGCGTGGTGCGGGATCGCGGATGCGCACTGCTGAAGAGTCCCATACTAGGACGAAACGGCCGTCCAGTGCTTCCAGGTTTTCAATGGTGGTCTAGCTTCAACTGACTCATGATTTAAATCTGTGATAATCTCAGGTTGATTTCTTTTGAAGTATACGAAGATGATCATATGAAGAGATTAAGAATTAAGAATAAAACTGTGGATTAAAACATTACATAATAATATTTTACTAAATTAATTATGAACATGATTATCCTGAAGTTAAGATAAACCTAGTCTTGTTGTTGAGCTGGAATGTTATCAACACCGACTGGTACATAAGAAATACATTTAAGTTTACGAAAATAAAAACAAACAAATATTTCTTTTTAATAGTTGAGATCATGATACAACTGAAGCTAGATCACCATGGAAAACCTGGAAGCACTGAATGGTTGTTTCACCAATTCTTTGTCAAATAACAAAACAGTTGTTTTTAACATAACGCTATATTGGAATAAACTTTCAATATGTTAACTAGTATGATACGTCATCTATTCCATTATACTGTGTTACAACATTTCTGATTAAGATACTTTAATTAACTGAACTGTGAGTATGGCCCATTGGTGAAATCGAGGAAGCTGTAAGAAGCTCAGAAAGAATTGAAAATATTCTTTTCAACCATCTTTTAGAAGAAAATTCCAAAATCTTTACGTATAACTTCCTTATTGGGCAAATGCTAAAATCTCCACTTGTATGCGGATTGGATGATTATAATGATAATTTCGATTTTACTAAAACCTATAAATACCTGATAGTTTTGTACCATATTTGACTCTTGGATGGTTCTAACATTCGATGGTTCAAGTTGTACATAGTATTTTTTTATTTATATTTATTTGAACACATAAATATTGGTACAAGATGGGCCTCCATGGTCGCAACCGGTTAGCGCGTTCGGCTGTTAACCGAAAGGTTGATGGTTCGAGCCCACTCGGGGGCGGTATATAGTATATCACGAATCTAAGCTGTAAATATAACATGAACATTATTATACGAATGTCAATTTAGAACAATTGTTTATCCCTTTCAATCTTATTGAATTGTCTAGTATAAATGTAATCAAAATAATCTATAAAAATTCAAAAAAAATTACGTGGTAACATCATATATTGACTTACCCCAGCGTAAAATAATTTATTTTTTAAACGACTATTGAATTTTTCAGGATTTGCTTCTATTAAGTAAACAAAAGAAAGTAAATAGGAGTATATTAGTTATGAATTATATACATGTGTATATATAATCCGAGCCATGTTGATAGATGCAGACTACTTGGTTGTGATCCGCATAGTTATCGTAAAGAATGATTGTAGACTCTGGGTGACATGGCTCAGAATCGATCACAATGGCGTAGGTGTATAAACTCTCTGTCTTCCCTTAAACTATGAAACTAAAATTATTTCATATCTTTCTTTCTATAACCTAATTCTTTCCTCCTACATTATATCCTTATATGTAATCTTTCCTTTATATATTACACCATTGAGTTAACTGCTTCTATGGATCCGCTGTTCGTCTTGCTGTGCTAATGAGATGTGACAACTTGAATCGATGCATATATGTGCCTGGTCCTACGTCGTAACTGACTAACTAACATACATCAATGATTGTTTTGCTGGAAAATATAGGTCTATAGGAGGATAGAAAAGATTACTTCATAAATGAATTCAAGACTAAATAACATTTGAGATTACGTAGGAATCAAGGAGATTGTAATAATCTTAACCGTTGAATTCATTAGTTAATCTAATATAGACCACTACTGAAAACCTGGAAATACTGGACGATCGTGTATATGGACATTGTTGAGGTGTACTATATTAGGATGAAAAGGTTGTCCAATAATTCTAGGTTTTCGATGGTGATAACAGCTAGCATTAAAATCTAAGAATCAAGTTTTATCTCATATACAACACATTAGCTGGATGAATCTAACACATTACATTGTTTATGTTCACATCAAGATGTGAACTCAGCACCTTACATTTCAAATGTCCAATAAATTATCGATTAAACTGTTAAGTTCAACTAGACACTAGATTTTGCAACGGGAATACATTTTATTATTTTTGTTGGTACGTTTTGGAATCTTCCAGTTGCTAAGTGAACATTATTACTAGGATACAGCGGTATCCACTAGATGAGTCGCATATAGGGCTATACAAGAGCCTGGATTACACTTCTGTTCACTGTTCATTTTCAATTAAAACACTTGTGACTCAGTATGTATATTAACGCAATCCTCTGAGGATGGATATGTTTAAGAAAAGATTGGTCGAATTTTAGTCCTTAATACTGACAACGCAAAGATTTAAAAACAAACAAATGAACAAAATGAAAGATAAACCAGTTGAAAACCACTTGGAATATATATATATATATATATATATATATATATATATATATATATATATATATATATATATATATATATATATATTGATACAATGGATTGCATAATAAGCATAATGCACCCACTCTTTGTGTTCTCTCAAATTCTAATCTCCTGAATCCTCATTGCCTCTATTTTTCTCTTTTCGAATCTATTTCACTGGATTATACTCTTTGAATAACATTTTCAAACCCTCATTTTTCCGATTACTGCTCATACTCTTACCGCCTCTACCACTACGGGATTTGAATCGACAACTGCATCTCTGTGTTAATGTGGTATGGCAACTCGAACGTACGTACGTACGTACGAAGTTCTACGTTGTTACTGACTGACTGACTGATAATAAACATAAACGATTTAAATACTTTACAAAATTTTAGAGAATCAGATGAGTGTTGAACAGGTGAATGAAAGAATAACTTATTGTACATAGAATAGCAATTAATTTACTGAGGATTTGATAGCAAAACAAATACGATAAAAAATAGTAATAATGATTACATCATAAAGTGATAATTGCAAGTTATATTAGTTAAATTAATGAATTAAGCAAGGTAGTAATGATAAGTTGATTATTGTTTATTTCTGTTACAGATTAATTTGGTTTGAGTATTGTGCTTGTTATCGCTATGACAAACTAAAGAAAAGTTGCGCTATTTTTTCTGATGATCATAATTTGAAAAACACAAAGTTATTATACAATTTAGAGTTAATACATCTCTTAGTTTTATTTACATGTAGAATGTCATCAGGACTACGATAAGGTACTATTCTCTGTATAGTTCTAATGTATGTAATACAAATTAAATATTTATAAATGGAATTTTTGAATTGACCTAGACTCCGACGTAGAACACATTATGTCAGGAATTGAAAGCAGACATGAAAAATGAAGAATAGCAACTTGAAAGGATTGCTCAGGATAGGGTTGGATAGAGGGTACTGGTCGGCGGCCTATACTCCTTCAAGAGGGGTAACGGGCGTAACTCAGCAATGTTTATGAATTATTAGTCCCATTAAATTGTTGTTATTTATAATTTTGCATGTATAAGAATTTATTATGAAATATTTTACTCTCTTTCTTAATTAATGAACATATAGTACCTATCCTATAACCAATTTGGTTGAAATACAAGGACGAAATTTATACTTTTTTTGTATTGTTTATTTGAATCTTCTCATTGATGGTAAGGACTGAAATTGATCAGTCTTTTTTCTTGGTATCCTGTACGGATAACTTCGATATTGCTTTAGTTCAAAAGCAGAGATGAATGGTGGCTAGCAGTGGAATCCAGGACGCACATTTCGTCCTCTTTGGGTCAGTAATAAATTAAAATTCATCCTAATGTAAAAGCTAGCGGCTATTTGGACTAAGTAACTAAGTAGATAATATGATGGTTTTCGAAGCGAACAGTAGTGGGTTCGAGTCCTGGAGTGAATACCAAGTCCAGGATGCGTGTACATTCAGATGACGAGTCCTAAATGGGACGAAACTCGCTCCTTGGATTCCATTGCTAACCACCATCAACTGTTTCATTGAGATTCAAACTTTTATGGTGATTAAATAACAGTTTGCTTAAAAACACATGCTGTATACATAATGATCATTCTTCTAGTTCGTCTCTTCATTATACTTATTTACTTAAGCCTGTTACCCCCAACCGAGCATAGGCTGCCGATCAGCATTCTCCAACACACTCTGTCCTAGGCCTTTCCTAGTTCTATACAATTGTTGTTCATTCTTCTCATGTCTGTCCCCATTTTTCGGAGTAATCTGTTTTTGCTTCTCCTCTTCTCCTTTGTCCCTAAGGATTCCATATGGGGGCTTGCACTGTGATGCAGTAGGGTGCTTTCATCAATGTGTGTCCCATCCACCTCCAGCACTTCTTCCGAATTTCTTCCTCCATTGGAATCTCGTCTGTTTTCTCCCACACTAGGTTGTTGTGGATAGTGTTTGATCATCCGATCCGAAATATTTTGTGTAGACAACTGATAACAAACACTTGTATCTTCTGGATGATGACTTTCGTAGTTCTCCAGGTTTCCGCCACATACAGTAGAACTGTCTTCACATTTATATTGAAAATTCTGACTTTGATGTTGGTTGACAGACAGCTGTTTTGAGTTCCAGATGTTCTTCAATTGTCGATATTCTGCTCTTGCTTTGCTGATCCGCGCCTTCACATCTGCATCAGATCCACCGTATTCATCAATGATACTGCCCTGATATGTTAATTTTTCTACATCTTCCAAATCTTCTCACTCAAGTTTGATTTGATTGATGCATGTTGTGTTGTATCGGAGGATCTTGCTTTTCCCTTTGTGTATTTTTGAGACCTACTGCTATTGATGCTGTTACTACACTGGTAATCTTTTCTTGCATTTGCTGTTGCTTGTGCAATAGAAAAAATTATTTATTCTATTTTATCTTATTTAACAATTATATATATATATATATATATATATATATATATATATATATATATATATATATATATATATATATATATATATATATATATCTTTATTATGACAGTAAATTTTTTTTATTTTCCTGATTTCTTTTAGAATTCTTTTTAAGTTTCTTATATCAAATCTTAATTAAATCAAGAAATCGATATGGTTTTATTGAGTTCTATGATATTTGGTTAAGAAATAATGAATAGATCAAATAAATTACTTTTTTTTCTATTTATCCATTCATTAATACTTAAGTAATATTTATTTAATATCAGATGGGTTTTGTGGATATTATAGTAATTTCAACGGTTAAGATCATGAGTCAGTTGAAGCTAGACTACCATGGAAAATCTGGGAGCACTGGACGACCGTTTCGTCCTATTGTGGGACTCCCCAGCAGTCCTCATCCACAACCTCGCCTCCTTTGAGACTCGAACCCAGGACCTACTGGTTTCGCGCGCGAGCACTTAACCACTAGACCACTGAGCCGGCATCCAACGGTGTTAATGTCTAACTTCAACTAATCCACGAAATTGAGCGACACATCCACCATTGTCTTCAGTGAGTTATGATCACAGAACAGACTTGACGAGTCTCACAATAGAACGAGACGTCCGTCCAGTGCTTCTGGGTTTTCCATGGTGGTCTAGCTTCAGCTGACTCATGATCTTAACCATTGAAATTAATATTTATTTATAGAATGATGTTCAATGAATAAATAAACTGAAGTAGTAGAATGTTTCTTTCAAAAATATACGTTATATTATTGTTTTGGTTACAAATATTGGACGGTAAATTTCCAAAAAGTTATATTCGCAAACATTTTTATCTCATAATCAAATACATTATAACTTACGGATCTTATGCTTTAAAGGTATATATTTTTTTCTGGTTAACTAAATACTTTCTTTACATTACTTATGTTAGCCAATATTTGTATATCATGACCAGGGTTGAATGAATAATAAATGATTGATGATTCAGTATATTATGTAGTATTGTATGTTTGATCCTTTCTTTAATTGACTAAGTGGTCTAATCATGTATATACAATAATTCGAACTAATCATCTTTCTTTATTCACCAGCACGCATTTTTTATCACCTGGATAGGACACACATTGAGTAAGGCACTCAACTGCATCATAAGGCAAGCCCTCACTTAGAATCCTTAGGGACAAAGCAGAAGAGGAAGACCGAAGAACAAATGACACCGAGAAATGGAGACAGACATGAGAAGAATGAACAACAATTGTATAGAATTAGAAAGGAAGGCGCTGGATAGAGTGAGGTTGGAGAATGCTGTTCAGTCGCCTATAC